AAGCTTCCTGACGCCTAAATGTTCGTGTAATATTTTTTTAACTTAACACATCCCAAAGCCTAGGCTTGCCCGTATCTGCTGATAGGGGCAAGTATCTGCTGATAGGGGCAAGCCTCTATCACTTTCTTATCTTCCTCTATCATGCGTCGCATAGCACAGATGTTATCTTCAGTAGTTGCTGTTAAAGGACGTCCCTCAAGCGGATCATCATTGAGATTGCTACGTCAACGCTTAAACTCGTTAAACCAATTGGAAATAGTGGCACAAGATGGGGCTTGATAAAAAAATTCCAATCGCAGCCTATCATTGCTTTGTTGTTGAGTAAGCCCACAACGAAAGTCATAATAAATCAATGACCGAAAATTTTCTCGCGTTAGGTTCATTTTCACGTGTAACAAGAGTTTTAGATTTGCCGCCTATTCACAAAAACAATTAATGACAAATTAATGAAATATACTCATTAGGTTACCAAAGAGTTCTAAAATTGAAATACAAAAAAAGTTTTCATTAGCAATGTTTCTAACTGGCCAATTCCAAAACATTTTCAGTGTTACCCATGTATATTATAAAAGTACGCTCTTTTCTTGAAAAAAAAACATTATGGTCTAATATAATATGACCAGTAATGACCGAATCAGTTACACGTAGATGATTGTGTTTTGTTTGTCAATTAGGTAAAAAAAGTCTTTAAAACTTTTTAGTAAACCAAAGTTTTCTTTTAATTTATTTATACCCATTTTCATACACATTCCAATTTCCTATAAACCGTCAATAGTCAAAAAACTCTATTAAATTTAATAACTAAATAAAAAATCTAAATTTTGTTTTCACGATCTTGATGAATTATTACTTTATTATACCAATTGATATTTTAGTATCGACACCTTTATTTTGTCACGTAAACTGATTATTGTCATAAAAACAGTAGGTGTATATTAGCCTCTCAATTATTAAATTGTAATTGTGGATTTAATTTTCATTTATTTAATTTTTATTGACAGCTGTTTGATTTTTATTTAAAAGGACCTAGGTTCTGATTCCTCGTAAAATAATTATTACTTCGATTTGAAATACGTATTATCTAGAATATATTTCTAGAACTATATTATTCATGATATAGAAATACATACTTTCGGATATCTGTATGTTTTTATCCTTCTAGACGTGGGAGCGGGAGAACTGGGAGTAACGCAACGCAAGTATTGGAACATAACTACAAAAGCAGCAAGTTTTCAATTATAGTGGAGGCGAAAATCCTATTTTTATTTTACAGAACTAGCTTGCGAAATAGTCATGTTCTGTTAAAACATTGCTTTATACGCCTGAAATCGTCTAGTTCAAACAAAAGCGTTATTTTGACCGCCTTCAAATTTACCGCTTTGTCCACAACCATACAGGAGTATTTAGGAGTATATTAGCTTAGAGGATAATGATTGGAAAATATTATTCCTTGGGGTTTAACTTTAAAATGATTTATTCATGTAGGATTTATTCAATGTACACTTATGAACGTCAATAATGAAATACATATTAAATGCTTCTAATTTTACATTTACTGCCAGTTCTCAAATCAAGGGCGTAGAACGAACGAGAAGAACTGGCAATAAACTCTCCGCCACTCTTTTTAATCGCCAAGTTTTTTGTTTTACAATATGTTTGTAAGGAGCTGCAACTATTACACCATGTTCACCATGAAACGCTGCTGTTATGGGAATACTTTAATGAATTAATTAAAATATGTGTTTAAATTGAATGAAAACCCAACGCAAGGCTTTTTTTTGTAAAATAAACTACATAATTAATTTGTTTATGACATTTAAAAGCACGTATGTACTTATTATAATTCTAGCCTTGTAAACCTAATAAATATATACGCCAGCTAACAATAGAATTTCATTAGCACCGAGTATAAAAAGTAGTATTTGCATTTAAATATAATTTGAATATTTTTTGTGTGTCTGCATTTAACACGTACTTATCTAATTATTGCTTCCGTAGACAATATAATAATTTAGATTTTTTAAGTAGTTTTAATAACTGTGATAAAAATAGCTTTAAATTAGACACTAAGCAGGCCCAGAAGGATCAGTATAAAAAAACAAATAAACAGATGCAATCTGTGGCCATACTTCTGGGTTATAATTTTTTAGTTATACACACAATTTTAACAAAATCTAGTGTCTATTACAACTATTAACAATTAATTCAGTTAAAGGTTATTCAGTCCAACTGGAAGCAAATATTGATATAGTATAGCTTGATACAAGAACAAAGCGAAATCAGAATCTAGGTCTAGATATTTCATTAGCTAGACCATTAGTACAGGTCAGTGACCGCTACTAAGCTACACGATAGATTGTAGATATTAGAATTAAAAAGTATATTTGTCGATCTAACTGCGTTTTGTCTGCGTAACACACGCTTGATTGTGCTTTATAGTTTTAACTGTATAACTTGACTATACATGAGGTAGTTGAGGCGGGTATTAAATCTATCGTAAATGCCGTCCATCTTTATTTTCGCACCAAAAGAAACAAGTACGCTACAAGCTAAATTCTTGGCCTCAGTTTCGTAATTTTATTTTTATGACAAGGTTTTTTCAAAGACAATATTCATTCACATTCACAATCCTACACACTTATGAACATGGTATCGAAATCCTTCCCTCTCACGCCAATATTAAAAAGACTCAATTGCGAACATAAACGAAATGTACCGACAAAGAAGATATGCAGCCCATATTGGCAAATCATCGTACGTCATCAAACACCGGGAAAGAGTAAACATTTTCCAGCAGATCTATTGGTGTTCAATTGGTTCTTTGTTACAAATTAAAACACCCTGTTGCAAATGGAATAACTTTAGTGAAACTGAAAACTAAACATTTATTATTTATTAACACATCGTTGTATGTACAGAAATATAATTCAATTGACATAATTACATAAAAAGGAGGGCAACTGGCGGCCTTATCGCTTTCGAGCGGTCTCTTCCAGGATAAACCATTGTGAGAAAAAAATTAGATAAGGTTTATAGAAAAAGGAAGAAGATAGAAGAAGGTTTATAGAAGATTCAAGAAAAGAGCGTACCAATTCTTAAAAGGCCGGCAACGCACTCGCGAGCCCTCTGGCATTGAGAGTGTCCATGGGCGGCGGTATCACTTAACATCAGGTGAGCCTCCTGCCCGTTTGCCCCCCGTTCTATAAAAAAAAAAAGATAAGCTTATTTAGATAAAACTAATGAAACGAAATAGAACATGTAAACAGTGATCAGAACAATATTAATGAAAAGGACTTGAAAGAAAAAGTGCACATGAATCACGATAATTTTAGGTCAGTTTTACATCAGTAAGTACGAAAGTAATACGATGTGGACAGGTAATGCTTGTAGAGAAGAGATTTAAAGGAAGTAACAAACGACGTAACGACAAAAATATATTGGTTCTTAGATTTTCTAATGATTTTTGTTTTCGTAAGTATTAAGGTTAATTCCTCATTCACCGTCTCTGTCTTTCGATTGTGAAATGCGTTGCCTGCAGCCGCGCAGACCTCGACTAAATTTAGATTTAAGAAACAATAAATTGACAACATTGTATTGTTATATTCAAATTATATTGTATTGGTGTTGTATGGAAGAAACTGCTTTTTGCCGTAAGACCGCATTTTCATGCCTTTTCTTCATTTATTTAATCTTATTTTTCTTCTGTTTTGTGGCATTGTGAAGTACTTAACATATTATTATTATTAATTTCAATAAATCCACGAATAACACACTGGAGCTTGCATTACATTACATTTTTAAGGAATGTAGAACATCACATTTCTGTTCCAACCAACTTGTACTCAAGACTAGATCATACGCCCTAAGTGCTACTTAAGGTGCGCTTACAAGGGCAACTAAAATTGCTCAATTCCAGTCAATACTCGTCAACTATGACGTCACGACTACATCAAGCAATTTACTGCAACGGCAACAAGCATCAATACTGCGCAATACAATATTGAGCGATATGGTGCAACTTCATCAACTAGGCAATACTGTTCTACACGAGCAATTCAGTATTCGCTCGACATTGTTCTTGCTGCGGCGGCTTGTAGCACTTTTTTCATTACTAAACAAAAACAAAAAAGATAGAAAAGGAATAGGCATATCTGGGTGCGAACGCAATTTTCATTGTGTAAATAATTAGATGATATATTATTTAAAAACTTTACTAGAATGTCACGAATAGACTTTGAATTCGTTTTGAATAAAGTAATTCAAAATTATTATTAAGGTGCACTTACACGAGGGTACTAATTGCTCGGCGACACGAATGGACCGATCTGGAGCAATTAATGGAGCAATTTCAATAAATTCAATAAATAATAATAATAATTGCCGCCGCAGCAAGAACAATGTCGTCCATAGCGAGCGAATACTGAAATGCTCGTGTAGGACAGTATTGCCTAGTTGATGAAGTTGCGCCATATCGCTCAATATTTTATTGTGCAGTATTGATGCTTGTTGCCGTAAATTGCTTGATGTAGTCGTGACGTCATAGTTGACGAGTATTGACTGGAATTGAGCAATTTTAGTTGCCCGTGTAAGCGCACCTTTATTCAGACCTCTCGCTCTCCTCGCGGAAGCAAGACGGCAAGCCGCAAAACAAACAAATGCGAATGAGATATATACAAAAATTGCTAGGAATTTCCAAGTCCATTGGATATTCGTCAATTCGTATCTGCGACATTGAGCGATATGAAATATCTGGAACAATTAGAAGCAATATCGCCGAAATAATTTATTGAAATTCATTAAATTTATTGAAATTGCTTCCATTCGTGTCGGCGAGCAATTATTGCCCTCGTGTATGCGCACCTTTAGACATGCAGGCGAATTATATACGATTTTATAAGGTTCCTTTATATAAAAAAAACTGATTATGTCCTATATAAGTTAAATATATGTGTCAAATATGTTTATTGGAATGAAAAACATGATAATATTTATTCATATATTCACCAAAAGTTACTGGTAAAAAAGTCTGTTTCATATTTATTTGCGTATGCGCAAGTTGCGTCGCTAAAATCTTTTAAAACAAATGACTGTCTGTGCTCAGCCAGCTCCGAGTACTTAGAGAGGGCAGTCTCAACATTCTTCAGGGTTTCGCCGTGTAGTTTCTCCTTATTCCTGGAGAGGACCCAGGTGAACACTGAAAATTAAGTAATAAATAACTGATAGGGAGATACAGTTATCGTATTCTTTATCTCTCATAGAAAAGTAAGTTATAATTTATATAAACCAATAATCTATAATCTCATATAAATAATAAAACAAGTTGTACTGAATGAGTTATTCAAAATCAATATAGTTTGTAATTCGTTTTATACAAATGGTTAAAAAAGAAAAAAAATCGAGTTATTACTACAAAATAAATAAAAATATAAAATTGTAATAATAATGATCAACTATTAAATATCCTCCCGTGGCCAATGCTAATTATACGTTTCCGTCTTAATTTTTTAAATTGATCTTAAAGGTTAAAGCGCAACTTAATTAATTTGTAAAGTAGTACGATGTCGACAGGTAATGCTTGTGCAGTAGAGATTTAAAGTAACAAACGACGTAACGACGTCACAAATATATATATATATATATATGATTCTTAGATTTTGTAACGATTTTTGTTTCAAAATACGAAGCAAATTCATAAATCTGAGGCCCAGACCTGAAAGGTTATAGCGCCGACTTAATGTGAATAATAGCGCCATCTAGTAGTGGTAGTACAAGTTATACAGTAGTATACGAGGTATAGTAGTTAATTGAGAGTTATATATTGTTATTATTTGACCACAATTCTTAGTAATTGAATTTAGTTAAATATTTTTTAAAACAGTGCCACCTACCGCTGTAACATATTATTATAGTAAGATTTTACACACATGAGTTTTGTTATTAATAGTTCTTTGATCACTCAAGAGAGGGCGCAGCTAACATTCTAAGATTATATTTTTATGTAATCTATATATAATCAAAGCTTATACATACAATATAATCTTTAATAAGAATAAAATATTAGAACGGAAATCTAAAAAATACTTTTGTGGCAATTAGTAGGGCGAAATTTTCAATTATGGAAAAACAATACGCATTTAGTGTTTAATAAATAATTTGTTTTATAAATCCAATTATCCATGTATGTCCAGTTTCTAAATGAAATTACATTTGAAATGTTATTAATAATTTACGTATAATAATATACACAAAAAATTACATACCATAATGCGTTCTAACTTTCTTCTTTAAGGTTTTACAGGTGTAGGCGATAGCGTAGCTGTCATAATCAGTCGATAATATGAAGAAGGGAAACTGTAGCACTTTATCTGAAAAATATACAAATTAATAAATACGACAAAAATAGCATTTATTCGAGTAAATTTTTACGGAACGTCACGACAATGTGCAGCGTTTTTATCGAAGAAAAGGGAGAGAGCGATTGAGACCGATTGAGAGAGAGTGAGAAGGCTGAATTACCTTATAGAAATTCTATTTTTAAAATAAAAATTTCGTAAAGAGAATTTATGAAATAATAGTATTTTATATTTTATGCAAAATAATTTATTCAAAACTCAAATGACGAATTGTAAGTTAAAATGGCACGTGTTTTTGTTATCGAAGAAATAAATTAAAAAAATTGAATTTATAATTTCTTGGTAATTTACGACACTTATTATTTTAATCACAACTAAATTAATTAAATTCCTAACATAATATTTTCCTTTTCCTTCCCTCTAAGTCTCGGAAATCTAAAGTTTTAGATTTGTATAAATATGAACAAAAGTTAAAAATTAGTTCATTTTGTGTACTTTGTACGCACGCACTTTTTTTGAGTGTGTTACCACTCAACACTATTATTACATCAGGCGTTATTTTTTGTAAGCCTTCGTATTATGCTATTGTTCTCTCTGGTTAATTTTTAACGGAAAAATAGAATACGCCGCAATCTACTCCGATCTTCTACATTAAAAATTTAGGACGCTTTATCAAGTACACACGACTGTTTCTTTTCAGATTTAATTTAAGGTCGGATTCAGCTTAAAATACTCAAAATTTGTTGGAAATCTTAAAATGGAACAAATTTTTTATCTTATTAAATCTTCTGTTTGTTTATGATTAAACAATATTTGCATCCCTATATGTAGCTTGGGACATATACAATGGACGCGTCATTTACAAAATCTGATCGTATAGTTCCCGTCATAAATTTAGTTTTAAATGTGATTTCTAGACAATACTTTTACTTGCACAATCCAATTCGTCAAGCATGTCTTGAAGCTATCGCAGCACTGCTTGAGAAAATGACTATATCGTCACACCTCAAGCTGCTTAGATACTATTTATTTCTATCCCTTTTCCCATTTTACACAATTTTATATACATGCGTTATATATATTCTAGGTGATAAAGGACCGCCTTGCCTTACGCCTCTGTCTGTACTAGATCTTTTCTGTCTAACTTCACCTGGCATTCGCTTGGATTGTAAATATTTTGTATGAATTCTATTGTAACATGAGGAACATTACATAAAGAACGAAACCTAGATATTTGGTGGCAGTTTGAACTTTATATTTTTCTACAATCATATCTAAGGATATGGTATACGGTAGAGAAGCTTTTTCCGAAACCAGCTTGTTCCACTGGTTGGCATTCTTCGGTATACATTGAAGACTTTCCGTCAACGCCGTACGTCGTTCTAAACAGGAAGGGAACAATTTGTACATAATACAGTGAAACCTGGTTAAGTGAGACATCAAGGGACCTGCAATGTCGTTTCACTTATAGAGGTATTCCACTTACCCAGTGTCTCAGATATACAGGTATAAATAAATATCTGTCTCATTTACAGAGGTTTTTGTTACGAAGTTGCTTGACCCATGTTAGCAAACACTGTTCAAGTTCAGGATATTCTGATAAACGTACACGTTTTAGTTTTCCTTGTCCTTCAGAACATTGTGATTCAATTTTATGCTTACTCTGAATTATTCTATAAAGAGTAGATTTTGGCACATTAAATTCGGCACAAACTTCTTCGCGTGTCTTCCCACTTTCATAAACGGATATTAACTTCAGTTTTTCACGTAATGATAACGATTGTAGCTTTCGTTTTGGCATTTTTCAAATAAACATCTGTATGATAGTAAAGCGAAACTAAAACTGAAGGTAACTGAATCTCAAAATCACTTACGTACTTGGAATTACGTGTGGAATTTGTGGGTAGAATAAGAATGAGGAAACAAACAATGTTATCTCAGTTACAGAGGTTTATGCATATAAAATTTACTCGCTGTCTCAGTTATAGAGGTAACTATGATGATAAATCGAAAGAACAAATCCCAGATATAGAGGCTTACCTCGTCCCACTAACAAAGGTAATTCAGTGCCAAAGTGTTGGGACCTCAGCATGAGTTCCAGTTATGGAGGTTTCTCACTTATCCAGGTCCCACTTAACCAAGTTTCACTGTATTTTGTTTCATGCATGCCGGTAGTCTACATCGGTCGGGTCACCATTTTTATATAGCCAAATTACGTCTGATACCAAAACCATATAGGCCGGGAGATAGTGACACAAAATAGTGGGTCATGTGTACCAGTATGGCGGTTCTTCAGGGGTCTTATTACGCAAGAAAAAGGATGCCTGTGGGGGGTTAATCATAGTGCTGGTACCGGCGGCCCAATCGCGTGGGCGTTTGTCGAACTCATCGGATTAATCGGAGTGTCAAACGATTTTTTCCAACAAAATTCTAGTATTTTCCGATAGTCCATAAAAAAATATGAGGCGGCAGTGTTATACCGACGCAAATGCGTTTATTAAAAAAAATTCAACCATTTGTACCAGGCTAATCTAAGGGTTGTATTATAAACTGATTGTAGTATTTAGTATCTCCCTATATTACATTGGATCTAGAATATGCTGTGATGTGGTTCTTATACGAGTAACCCTTGTTTGTTTCTATTAAGTACTGTAAAACCTTGCTTCAGACTAGTTTTAAAAACCTCTAGTACTTGAAAATTATGTTTTTGCTGTTCATCACTTTGTGTCCGCCCGTTTCTTCTGGATAACAGATCATTTAATTCATTTCATATAATTGCATTTTATATCGTTCTTCGTTGCCTTTATCATCATTTAATCTACGCTTACTAATAACTGCGATGACGTCATACCCTGAAACGCGGAACGAAGTTATTCCGGCTAAGGATATTACAACTTCTCGGCCTTAGCCACTGGGGCCTTCGGGCCAGTCAGTGGTCAGACTGGTCGAAGGACTCCTTAGATACTATTAGTTTTAATCAAGGATGTTAGGGTATGAACACAGGGCTTACAATGTATGGTTAAAAACTATTTATCAAGTGTGGCCATATCTTTCTTTGTGGTATATAATTTTTGGTAGCAGAGCATGGTAATAATAATTAAAATTAAAACGATTAATTGTAATAGGTACATGAATAGTAACTAGATCATATTTGATAGCTAATATTATAGATGATAGATATATAGCTAATTAATATATGATTAGACATTCTGAAAAGGTGGGAGCTTGTAGTTTATTGTTTATTAGAATGCCAAATCATGAAATGACTGCTTCACGACTGATTTGAGAGCGACCGCCGATGCGAAAACCGCTGTGTGAGTTCGAAAAGTGAGTTACAGAATCGCAGGGCAGACATAATGCGCTTTATATTTTCGATCAAAATAATACATACCTCCGTCTTCATGACTGACAATAAACTGCGCTTTATTCCCAGCATCAAAAGTAGGGTCGACTCTAGCAAAATACGACTTTTGGGTTCTGTTACCATTGTCAAAGTCAACATATGTCTCTCTTAATGTATACCCGAGGTTGTCTTCCTGGAAGTCCAGGGAAGCGCAATCATAAATGCTACGTCCATCACTTGCATAGCTGGCCACATTGTACCAAACTCCTGAAAACTGAAGAAATAATTATATTTGTCCAATCAATGTCGTTACTTTCAGCTATTATGTCACACAAAAAATAAATCTCTAGCGCTACAACCTCTTTAGGTCTTGGCCTCAGATTTCTGAATCTGTTTCATGATCATTTTTAAATCTAATAGCAAGTAGGTGATCAGCCTCCAGTGCCTGACACACACCGTCGACTTTGTGGGTCTAAGACATGTCGGTTTCCTCACGATGTTTTCCTTCACCGTTCGGGCAAATGTTAAATGCGCACATAGAAAGAAAGGTGCACAGCCGGGGTCGGACCTACGACCTCAGGTATGAGAGTCGCACGCTGAAGCCACTAGGCCAACACTGCTCTTATTATGTCACATGGCTTATTAATTATCAAAGTCAATTCAGTTCAAAACCGGTACACTAGTTGGTAATTGACGCAAAGATAGGGAAAGCCAGGGAAAGGTACGACAGGAACTAGGGCATCTAAATAATGACGGAGAAACACCGATTGTAAGAATAAAGACAAAGAAAACTAGGACAATGACTTACACGACCTGAATATTTAACAAAAATAGGACCTGGGAATAAATGATTAAAAATGGCGACGTAAGAAAATTCTACCAGCACCATTCCTTGCATACATTAGTTTGTTGGAATCAGTCGTTTTAATTTCGACTTTAGTTATTTTTTGAAAGGCTTCTGCTTTGTTCGACCGCTCAATCGAACTGAGGATCGTACCAAAAAGCGGAGACTGCTCCTCAGAGGCAGCGTCAGGCATCAAGCTATTCTTCCCTGACCCCTTATTGTCGACGTTTTGGTTTTGTTTGTGTGAGACAGGGCAAGGAACAAGTGCAACAGGAGATCGGTTGCGCGAATACGACGAACATGCATGCATCCGTCAAACTGTCAGTGGTAGGAAGGCGTGTCAAATGATTTAATATTGATTGTCTTTTATTTTGAAAGGATTAAAGTGGTAATAACTCCACACTTACTCCTTTTAAAATAGGTTTACAATTTTTGTTACTTTTGTTAAATGGTTTAGCTATGTGAGGGCAATGTACTCTTAGAATAAACTACTATACTAAAAAAGTTAGTATACATGTTCCTACTTACAAATATCGAAACCTTAGAATATTAACATTAAAGAGTAATAAAAATATTAAAAAAAACACAACAAAACAGTGTGTGAGATACAAAAAAATAATTACATTTGTAGCATTATATAAATAAAATAAAAAAATAATAATAATAATAATAACAAAATTAACATATTTTTTTTTAGCAAAAATCAGCAACCATGGGGGGAAAGGAGGGGGGGGGGGGGGGGGGGGGGGGGGGGGGGGGGGGGGGGGGGGGGGGGGGGGGGAAGGAAAGGAAAAAAAAAAAGAGGAAGAGGGGGGGGGGGGGGAAAAAAAAAAAAAAAAAAAAAAAAAAAAAAATAAAGGGGGGGGGGGGGGGGGGGGGGGGGGGGGAAAAAAAAAAAAACAAACCCAAAAACCCCCAAGGGGGGGGGGGGGGGGGGGGGGGGGGGGGGGGGGGGGGGGGGGGGGTTTTTTTTTTTTTAAAATTTTATTAATTAAAATTATTTTAAAAAAAAAAAAAAAAAAAAAAAAAAAAAAAAAAAAAAAAAAAAAAGGGGGGGGGGGGGGGGGGGGAAGGAAAAAAAAAAAAAATAAAAAAGGGGGGGGGGGGGGGGGGGGGGGGGGGGGGGGGGGGGGGGGCACGCGGCCCCGAGAAAGGGGGGGGGGGGGGGGGGGGCGGCCCCCCCCCCCCCCCCCGGGGGGGGGGGGGGGGGGGGGGGGGGGGGGGGGGGGGGGGGGGGGGGGGGGGGGGGGGGGGGGGGGTTTGGTATAAAAAACCGGGGGGGGCGGCGGGGGGGGGGCGCGGGGGGGGCGCGGGGGGGGGGGGGGGGGGGGGGGGGGGGGGGGGAAAATAATTATTGCCTTTACCCCCCATCATAAAAAAAATATAAAAAAATGGGAAAAGGGGGGGGGGGTAATTTTTTTTTTTTTTGGGGGGGGGGGGGTGGGGGGGGGGGGGGGCGGGGGGGGGGGGGGGGGGGGGGGGGGGGGGGGGGGGGGGGGGGGGGGGGGGGGCGGGGGAAAAAAAAAAGGGGGGGGGGGGACCACAACCCCCCCCCGCCGGGTGGGGGGGGGGGGGGGGGGGGGGGGAAAAAAAAAGGGGGGGGGAGGGGGGGGGGGGAAAAAAGAGGGGCGGCCCGCCGCCCCCCCCCCGGCGCCCCCCCCCCCGGGGGGGGGGGCCCCCCGCAACGCGTATTGTGTGTGGGGTGGGGGGGGGGGGGGGGGGGGGGGGGGGGTGGGGGAAAAAAGGGGGGGGGGGGGGGGGGGGGGGGGGGGGGGGGGGGGCGGGGCCAACCCCCCCCGCGGGCGGGGGAAAGAAAAAAAAGAGCCCCCCGCCCCCCCCCCCCCCCGCCAAAAAAAAAAGGGGAAGGGGGGGGGGGGCGGCCGCGGGGGGGCCCCCCCCCCGGGGGAACCCCGAGTATTGGGGGGGGGGGGGGGGGGGTTTTAAAAAAAAAAAAAAAAAAAGGGGGGGGGGAAAAAAAAAAAAAAAAAAAAAAAAGGGGGGGGGGAAAAAACCCCGGCCGGAAAATTGGGGGGGTTTTTTAACAAACGGGGGGAAAAAACCGACCAAATCCCTTTTTTTTGGAAGAGGGGAAAGACCCCAGGGGGCCGGGGGGGGGGGGGAGGGGAAAAAGAAGAAAAAATATAAAAAAAGATTTGATTTTTTTTTTTAAGGGTTAAAAAGGTGAAAATATATTTTTTTTTAATGGCAGCTGGGGGGGGGGTACCGGGTTCCTGAGGGCAAGTTTTAATTTAATTTAAATTTGTTCTCGGCCTTTGGGAGGGTTGTGCGGTACCGGGCGAGTGCTTAAACCGTACATGGAGGACACGGTCGAATTTCTAAAGGCAAGCACGAATTATAAAAAAATCTTATACTTGACGCTGGCTAATGCACAAAGCGTGCCAGAGCCATAAAAAAAAACTTACTTTTAATATTAATAATGAATATGGATCTAGCACTATTGGCAAAAAAATAAACTAGTTGTATAGTTTTGAACGGATTTGACTTTGACGTTGTATATTTTTTTGTATTTGTATCATTATCCGACATATCTAGTAACGTGAATAATTTGAAGTTACTTTAACTGAATTCTAACTTGTTTATGTATATTCCCCGACTACGGGAAAACGCCTGGAGTTTTCATGCACGAATTTATTACATAAATTAACTTGAAAGTCGAGTAATGTATAATGTAATAAATTCGCGATTATTTTAATAAATACTTTCTTGTTTTGTGTTTGCGTGTTGTTCCCACGAGAATGGAAGTGCGTGCTCCTATTTCACCATGCCTCCTGCTGATAGAGGACAAGTCTTTGTTTTTAATTTATGTTATTATTATTAATTACTTAAGATGTCATGTGGAACATGGTGTAATGGTTGCAGCCTCTTACAAACGTTGTGTAAAAAAAAAAACATGGCGATTAAAAAGAGTGGCGGAGAATTTATTGCCAGTTCTTCTCTTCCGTTCTACGCCCTTGATTTGAGAACTGGCACTAAATGTAAAATTAGAAGCATTAATATGTATTTCTTTACTGACAAGTCATAAGTGTACAATGTGTTACCTATATGATTAAATGATTTTTGAATAATTTGAATTTGAATGGGAAGACTTCCCAAGTGTTTTAGCTTTGGAGAGACAGTGTAAAACAAAAGACGATTCCACGGCCCGTTCCATTTAACTGTGATTGGTCAAGAGAATCTTGAGTCATGATATTACATCCGCTTGTCCAATCACAATCAAACGTATTTCGTTTTAAATTGTCTGGGGCTTCACATGAAGTGCTGCCAGTATTAAGGGTACTCTGACAGTACGGATATTCACATGAACACAGGGCCAAGTACTTTAATGTATAAGCTTTACGGAGATTTAGATTTTGTACAGTTAGCATATTTTGTTGAATATTAATTTTATTTATGCTTATACAACATATGTGGCTCCTTATTTTGAAATATGTTCATAGAATTTTATTTCACCGTTACAGACGAAGTTTGTGACAAATCTTAATATATTAAAAAAAAAAATAAAAATCTTAATATATTATATTATAAATTACGCGTCACGTTGTTTGTCCGCTATGGACTCATAAACTACTTAACCGATTTCTATCAAATTTGTACACCGTGTGTAGTTTGATCCAACTTAATAGATAGGATAGATTACATCTTAATTTATACCCGCAATATTAATTTATTGCAAAATATTTGTTGATTATTTGATAGTCACAATTCTAACAGATGGCGCTGTGTTGAAAGTACCAACGTTTCACATAAGCTACAATTTAATGGCATAACCAGCAAAAAAGCATGATAGTCCCCATGACTGGTGTTCTCCTACCGTTTCCCTTGAATAGGTTACTACTATGTAATATAACTAAAACCTTAGCCACAGCGACGCTTGGCCGGTCTGCTAGTCTTAATATATATAAATCTCGTGTCACAATGTTTGTCCTCAATTCCTAAACTACCGAACCGATATCAATCAAATTTGCACACCATGTGCAGTTCGATCCAACTTGAGAGATAGGATAGTTTAAATCTCAAATTATAGTCGCAATTTTAATTTATTGCAAAATATTTGTTTATTATTTGATACAATTCTAACAGATGGCGCTGTGTTAAAATTATCAACGTTTCACATAAGCTGTCATCTACCTTTTACATAAGTTCTCCTACCGTTTCCCTTGAATAGTTTACTACTATGTAATATAACAAAAATCTTAGCCAGAGCAACGCTTGGCCGAGTCTACTAGTATATTATATAAATTACGCGTCACGTTGTTTGTCCGCTATGGACTCATAAACTACTTAACCGATTTCTATCAAATTTGTACACCGTGTGCAGTTTGATCTAACTCAAAAGATAAGATAGCTTACATCTTAATTTATAACCGCAATATTATTTTATTGCAAATTATTTGTTTATTATTTAATATAACGACCATCTGAAACATGAAAAGTGATTTAAAGTCCAATAAACTTTTCATTTATAACAAAAACCTTAGCATAATTTGTCAGCAAACGGAAAAGGAAAAACTTACCTTAGTATGATCCAGTTTTTCGTGTATTTGGACATCTGGACATTCGCCTGGTAATGTAAACTCCGCAGCATACGCCAGAGATATACACAAACAATATATGATCAACATATTGCACGAGTGACCAGCCCAAGTCGTCTTTAAAGATTGACTCCTACACAATAATTATTCAATGATGACCCGTTATCTGAGTTTATATTTAGCTAAGGGTTTGATGGATTAACTTGAGTAATCAAACAATTGCTGGACATTTTTAATGCCACAGATCAGTCGATATTGGTTTCTACCAATGTTTCCCAATGTGGCACACAGGTGGCAATTAGATTGCGAAAATTTATTAAAATTATTTGTAATTTGAATTTCAGTTTTACTTTATAAGTTTTGAAAATATACTTACTTGTTTCGTTAACAATTTCGTAATAATTTCTTCCTAATTAAAAATGAAAAATAAAATTTTATAATATTATATATGTGACATCCCCCATGTCATAAGAATTTTAGAAAAGCTAAGGTTGGGCATGGCACAAAAAAGGTTGGGAAACACTGGTTCAGACTATTGGTGTTTAGATCGTTGGGGTATCCTCAGAAATTGTATATTTTTACTAGATATTTTTCTTAATAGATAATTTGACTGTTTAATTCATCCATTCTACGCCCTTGTTATGAATATGTTTAAATTTAGAATATCTTTTAAATTGGCGTACTAGTACTTCATTATATTAATGCTTATTGTGATATATGAATAAATAATAATATCTATATGTACCTCGCATAGACCGGCTTATAATATTGGCGTTCTAGTGAGCGTTCATCGTTTAAACACTTATTAATGAACGAACGTGAGCTACTAATGTAGCTCGTAAAAGATTACTGCTACTGTACTATTCATTTTGGATGTCAGATTAAAGGATATTATTATGAAATCCGCGCTATGTCAAAAACAAAGTCAAAATCATTTATTCATTTAGGTAACACAATGTACACTTATGAACTTCAATAAAAACATACATATTAAATGCTATATGCTTCTAATTTACATTCACTGCCCGTTCTCAAATCAAGGGCGTGGAACGGATGAAAAGAACTGGCAATAAACTCTCCGCCACTCTTTTTAATCGCCATGTTTTTTGTTTTACACAATGTTTGTAAGTAGCAACCATTACATCATGTTCCACATCACATCTTAAGTCATTAAAAGTTAATAAATAATTATAAAATTCTAAACTAAGTTTCCTCTATCAGCAGTAGGCATGGTAAAATAGGAGCATGCTCTTGTGGGAACAACACGCAATATGTTTAACAAAACCCAGGAATTCCAGTGATCGGTGAAATTAATAAGTTTATTCTCAGAACAAAAGATAACCTTTGACCAATATAAGCAGAATAAATTATTGCAGATAAACTATAATAAAGTAACATTCATAATAGTCATGCAAAACACATAATATTTTTTAAAAAGTTTATGTAATTGTATTGTATTTGTATGTACAGTTTTTAATTACTGTGTTTATATTTTCATCTGATGGCTATTTTTACGTATTTATTTACACTTCGTTACCTAACATACATATAATAAACAGGTTATATAAATTATTAGGCAATAGGAAATATCGCTAAGAAACGATTTCTGCCAACCCTAGTATGTGAAAATAAAATAAAAAGAAATACGTACTGAAGGATTCTGATGATATTTTGTGTGCATATTGGGGATGTCTGAGAATCATGAATCATCAAACAATGTTAAGGGCCCTAAATTGTATTTTTTTTAATGTTTAGAAAAAAAAATATGATACAGCATTAAAAAATACATACAACCCCTAATTTTCACCCCTTTACATTCAACCCCTATTTTTTATTATAAATGATATAATCATGGCAAAACGACGTTTGCCAGGTCAGCTAGTTGTTAAATAAATATCTTAAATGCATCATTCGATACATCAATTAATTTAAAACATCATCTTAAAGTGTGATAGCCTGGTTTCGTATGTATATACGTATATATATTTGTACGTATGTTTTTCGAGATGCCACTGGAGAAATGTAGATGCCACCGTAATCATTTTTGTAATCTCTCGAGTCGTAACATATGCGTCGCATAATGCGGCCTCCAACTGTACCGTATTCTAGCATGTTGAACACAACAATATGATATATAATGAAAGAATTCATATTATTTTATTATGAAAAATTTCGATTAAAAACAAGTCGTTACGAGTTAATTTCGATGGCGATTGTTGTAGGGATGTTCAAATAAATAAAACTCTTTGTTTGAAGCTGGGTGTCAACTGGCTTTAATCGTTTAATACATTAGCTTTAAACTTACATTAGGGGTAGTGGGGTTGCGACGCTGGATTAATAAATTCTTGGCTTATTGGGGTTCTTAAATCTAAGTGACACTTCTATATAAGTGTAGTCAACTTATTGGACATTATCAGAAAGGAGAATGTTATATTACAATTTATGAGTGTGGGAAAAACTAAAAAGGGCTCATTTTGGCTTCAAATGAGCGATGATTGCTTACATTTTGTTTACGCTTTTAAATATTAGCTAAAATATATATATATATACTAGCAGACCGGCCAAGCGTTGCTGTGGATAAGGTTTTTTAATATTACATAGTAGTAAACTATTCAAGGGAAATGGTAGGAGAACTTATGTGAAAGGTAGATAGCTTATGTGAAACGTTGGTACTTTTAATACAGCGCCATCTGTTAGAATTGTATCAAATAATAAACAAATATTGGCAATAAAATAATATTGCGGGTATAAAAGGAGATGTAAGCTATCCTATCTTTTAAGTTAGATCAAACTGCACACGGTGTGCAAACTTGATTGATATCGGTTCGGTAGTTTAGGACTCCATAGCGGACAAACAACGTGACACGGAATTTATATATATTAAGATATATAACTTAACTAATGCTAGGTTACATTATACATAACTCACGATAAAGTATCTTATTACTTGACTTTTAGTTATTATTAATACATATAATATATAATAATGTATATTAATTACATTTATTAATAATACCCCGATACTGCGAAACTGATAAGAATGACTTCTGCGAGAGGAATATTGTTTTGAATTATCAGTCTTAAAGAGAACAACATTCGATAATGTTTATATTTATATTATTTATTTGTGTTAATACGGTCTACGGTTATTTTACTGTACCGGGAAAGTGTCCAGATAATGTCGAATTACAAGATGATTTTCGACTGGCGGACGTATGTATATTGATTTACTTGTGTTAAACTTAACTATTTATAAAGGGCACTCTTTCCTCCAACTTTGATTTTGTTCACTTTGGAGTAGAGACTCTTGGGCCGTGGGGTAAGTTGGCGCTTGGTAGATAGTACCCGTGACTCCAGAGCTGCTGTCCTCGCAAGTATTGCAATACTGCATTATAAACAAACAAATTTGGTTGATACAGAAACCAAAGTCTTTAAATTTAATATAGTTTTCCATTAATCCTTTTTTAATTTTTATTAGTGTTACTATGTAGGTTAGAATATTGCAAATATTTAATTATCTAAATATTAACCCGATGAACTTCGTATCTATACTATACATATATTTGTTACCTTGTAGCATAGTGATACTGACAGCGATCCCCATGTCAATAATGAGTTTTTGTACCACGCAATCCCAAGATTGCGACATAAGCACAAACTACGGATATTAATAGAACTACATTAAAAATTCATACAAAAACGTCGGAATTTTTATCGCTATTGGAATTTACTGAGTATCGGGGCTGAGCCTATTAAAAGTTGCCATATTGTAAAACTAAAATTAAACAGAGCATGAAAATATAATTGAAATATGACAATAACGTTTTGAAATGTATAACTAATTTTTTTTTTAGTTTTACGGAAAATGGTATCAAGCCTACCACTACTCAAGCGATGGCCAAATCCAGAATAATTGTTCAACCATCGAACTGATGACCAGACCCTCAGGAATCTATCTAAACCAGTCGAGAGTAGACCGGGGATTGTTCCATCGGTACAGTATAGGGAAAGTTGATATACCATCAAAAGTTGGGGATGCAAACCTGGAACTGATATTCGCTTACAAAAACGCACCCAGGCGATGTAAGTCAATTCAACAAGAAACATTTCGTTTAAATATTTTTGTATGTTTTTGCGTTAATTATTAAATTTAGAGCTAGTATACTACTAGTAGATAATTTGTTTAGATAGGCTTGATCCCTTGGTTTTGCCTAGAGATGTTGGGTCTCTCTGCATCTTCTACACCAATTAACCAAGAATAGTGTTCAGATAAGTTGTTCGGATAAATACCTGCAGCTAAGTTTCATCATCGACTACATCAAGGCCAAATAGGAAATTCCACCCGACGTCCGTCGTTCCACAATGGCGCTTAAAGCAGTTTTTGCCGCGCACTAGGTACCTACTACACCCAAACATGTCCCACTGATGTATTTCCGAACCAATTCGACTTAGGATCCTTCAAGATAAGAGCGTACCAATACTTAAAAGGCCGGCAACGTACTTGCGCAACTTCACTTAACTTCAGGTGAGCCTCATGCCCGTTTGCTGCCTGTTTTAATTTAAAAAAAGGGTAACTTATGAAGGAAGCAAAATTGTAAATAAGGTTTGTTTAGCTTCAACAAATGTTTTTGGCATCATTGCAAATTATAGGTATCAATTATAATGTATCACGTGTTCTTATAAGCCAATTTTAATTACTTGTTTATAAATAATATATTAACATAGAAAAGTAATGAAAAGTATGTTCGACTTTCCATGGTGATTTCAATTATTCAGTGTGCATTTGATTTTGCTACCTTTTTTTTCTTCAAAGGACTGAAGTTTGGCCTTAAGCTGGCCTTAAACTATAAATCAGTATTTTATTTTGAGTTAACAGCCTTGCGATTCTGTAACTCACTTTTCGAACTCTCACAGCGGTTTTCACAGCGGCGGTCGCGCTCAAATCAGTCGTAAAGCAGTCATTTTACGATTTGGCATTCTGATAAGGAGGAGCTTGTAGTTTATTGTTTTCAGAATGCCAAATTGTATCGATATCGCTTTCGGGTGATCTCTTCCAGGTTGCCTGGAAGAGATCACTCGAAAGCGATAATGTCGAAAAAATTTAGCATTCTGATAAACAATGACTGCTTTACGCGTCCTTATCAGAATCCATATACGAAAATTTTACAAATCAGTATTTGAGCGCGACCGCCGCTGCGAAAACCGCTGTGAGAGTTCGAAAAGTGAGTTACAGAATCGCAAGGTAGTTGTCCAAGCTTAGTAAAGATTTAACTATGCCCATCTAATGGTCAAAGGAAATCACATCGAGTTCAAACTCAAACTCAAACTCAAAATATCTTTATTCAAGTAGGTAACCAAGTACACTTTTGAATCGTCAAGTTAAATTAATCGTAAATTTACATTTACTACCAGTTCGCAAGTCAAGGGCGTAGAGCGGGTAAGAAGAACTGGCAAGAAACTTTCCGCCACTCTTTTTAATCGCCAAGTATTGTCATACAAATTGTTTGAACTGGAGCAATTCAATCCCAAGGATTAGGATCATTTAAGTAGTCCTCAAATTTATAAAAAGCTTTGTTGATTAATTTTCGTTTAACGAGGGCTTTGAATTTATTTAGTGATAATTCTCTAATTTCGCTTGGGAGCTTGTTGTAAAAACGAATACAATTTCCATATAAGGAGTGGTTTATCTTTTGGAGCCTGGTTGGTCGTACACTCAAATTAGTTCTATTTCGCGTATTATACTGGTGAAAGTCACCATTTGTTTTAAAATCGTTTATATTTTTTTTGGACATACAACAAGGCTTCAAGAATATATTGACCAGATAGTGTCATAATATTTAATTCCTTAAACTTATTCCGTACCGACTCCCTCGGAGAAACACAACAAATACCCCGAACAGCCCGCTTCTGCAGCACAAATATGGATTGAAAGTTGTTTCTTCTACAAGTTTGTTTAAGTCTTTTAAAGGCTTGAAATTAAATCCTAATTGAAAGAATTGAATTGACGACTCAAAGGATTTAGGAGTCAGGTGAATAAAATGTCTAGTATGGGCTATGAAAATAAAATAATCCTTCGTTACGATGCTGTTAAATGCAAATGTAAGACTGGGTTCACATTAGTTCACACAAATAGTGGCACATGTATTGTACATAGACCCATTCACACGGCGTTTGTACTGCAAAATATCGTACACCGTTTATACGTTCAAACGAATACTCAACGGACTTGTCATCACTTACAAGCAAATCGAATGAACTTTAACGTTCATTCGGTTTAAAGGGGCACATAATATAGCTCTGTCTCGTTCTCGCTCACTGTGACAACTGTGTGAAGACTGCGGCTATTCGTATTTTACACGAATGAAAATCTACCATGTGAACACCCGGGTGAAGGTACGTTAAAAAAACGAATACAAAGAAAACGTGCAGGACAATGTCGTGTGAACCAAGTCTAACGCTACCATACCGATTCACATATTAACTTATATTTTATATGCCCATATATAAACGTGTATTAATTAAAAAAACAATTATTTACAGTGAAAACGAGGCGGTATCCTTTCCGTATCCTGGCAACAAACTACAATTATTTCGCTACTATTTACACCTGCGAATACAGTAATCTTATTGATAAGCACTTCGGTAAGTACATATATCAATTTAACACCGCTCATACAAGTGAACGTTTATTTACTTTTAATACGGTTAAGTATGCATAGTATATGTGGTACGCAATCAAAAGGATATAAGATAAATATGAATTTATAAAGTACAAATTCATATTTATTCATTGTAATATCATACAAAATCCAAATTATTATTCTTTATACTAAGAAACTTAATGGTACCCGTAACACAAACTTTATCATAGTGTCTTGCCAAGTATGCCATAACAATTATATTTATTTATTTCTTAACACTTCGTTACATTTATAGAAAAACAAATAACATAATACACAAATATTATAAGTAAAAATCTGCTTCTTCCACATTGGCCCCGATTCCATTTAGGGGTTGATGGGGGGTCACACGGTCTAATAGGAACTACAATACAATTACGAGCTGGAACAGCTGACCTGACCAAAATAAAAAGTACGAAATACGTTGGAACAAAAGAGGAAAAGGGCGGGGCTAGAGGAACAGAAAAGTACTAAACTGGTACCCAAGGTACAGCAAACGTAAAAGAGGGATATACCAAATTGAAGAAGCAGCAGGTGGTGCGTGGCAGAGAGAGGCACAGTGCAAAGAAGAAAGGCGGGATCTGGAGGAGGAACTTGCTAAAAAAGGACACACAGATACATAAAAGAATATATACATATTATATTATTATTAATATGTTGCTTCTTTTATATAATCTTAGCATTACATTACATTTTAGTGATAAACAATTATCTTTTTTCAGTTCATGTGTGGATTTTGTCCAGGAACCAAATATTGAATGACGTTTCAAGGGAGCTGGCAATAAAACCATTGAATAAAATAGGCGTAGACCCAATGAAATTAGTCAAAGATGATCGAAGCAAGTGCAATCCTAAGTACTATGAAGACGTGCCCGTAGAGCCGATGACATTCAGATGTCCAGTACCGATATAAAGTAATTCTTGTATACAAAACTATTAAGAAATAATAATAATGAATAAATTATTGTACATTGTGTTTTGTATTTAATATCATTTATTTACACTTGCAAGACATACAACAGATCTCTTCCAGACAACCAATGTACGAAAAAAAAATTAAATTAATTAAGATCGCAAGACGTGCATGACTACATAAGATAGACAACTATTTAGATATAAGGAATGGAATAAAACAAAGCAGTTAATACATGTAGACAATGAAACACATGAATCACGATAATTTCAGTTCGTTCAGTTAGTTCAGTTAGTAGGAAAGTTAATTATGATGTGGACAGGTTGTACAGTAGAGATTTAAAGGAAGATAGAGATTACTTCTATCTGCCGATGAAACTGGCTACTGCGCTCCAGTAACACCCAGAACCAAACGTTGCTGGCAGTTGTTAACTTTTTTTCTAATAGACACTTCAGTCCAATTTTTTGGGTTTAAGGCTCAAGTTTCTTTACGATGTTTTCCCTTCAGCGTTCGAGTGTGCGTTCAATGCGCACATAGAAAGTCCATTGGTGCCGGAGTTCGTAATAACAACCTCAGGAAAGAGAGTTAAAAACCCTCAGATTTGTAAAGTCATAAAAGTTATTAACATCTCTTTGGCACGCTGAGATCTTCAATTGATCAGATTACTCTGCGTTACAACTTGAAGAGAAGTGGTATTAACACGTTCACTGCGCCATCATTTTTAAAGAACTTTCAGTGTGCTTTGGAACCTAAAAGATCTCGTAACAAGCCTTCTTGGTGCGTTTGAACCTAATCAGTCTCCTAAAAATACACTTTTAAAAATAATTTATATCTTCAAAAAACAATGACAAATATTTTGAAGTTTTTGTGGGTGAAAGATAGCTAATTGCTTTATATTTTGCTAGGTTCGAGCAGTTACGACATTTGAATAAACTACAAAAACAAAAAAACAAAATTAGATATATTGTTCTGTACCAAAAGAAATTCAATATGTGTAGTAAGTAGTGATGGGAATAAAATCATATCTCAGTTATCGATTCTAAAAGTTTTATTAATTATGCAAAATGTTTTTCATTAAAACATGGTAAGCACTTTGATTGATGACATTACGCGCAAATGGTAAAATTCGTTTATTTTGCTCAAGAAAATGGTTCATAGTTTTATGGGGGAAATTTGAACATTTTCAAAAAATTTATTTTACTGGACGATGAGAGTATAATGGCGTTGATATTTTGTTAGAACCTCACCAAAATAAATAGATTTTTACACTTTTTTTCTTTTAAGAGCACTTATTGTTTATTCAAAATAATCAACACGATAAGGAGTTTATTTAATGCAAAAACGCGAACTCATTCATTTAGGACAAACTAAAAATCCCATCCTCCCTCTCTTGGTTAGAGGGTACGATTTCAGAGTACGACATATTCCTAAAAGGAATTAAAACAATTAAGTATGTGGTTAGGACTAATCCATCTTAATTTGTTTTTAATTGTGTTGAATTAGTTTAAGTAGGAAGCAAATATGTATATTTTTTATACTTAAAGAACTTTACAAGTTAGATCCTCAGATAAAAAAATTATTAAACAATAAAATTAAAGAATTATAATTAAATCATTATTCCTAGGTTAAACCAGGCCTTCATAGGCGGGCCAGGCGCATGAGCAGTCACTAACATCGCTGTGAATCATACGAAACGTGAATATAATAGTTGAATGAATATATTATAATAATAATTTACCGAAAGCCACACTAGAAAGCCCCTGCGTTGTTGGTGACCAGATTTCAGTTCTTCTGTGGTACATTGTTCATGATTGTTTTAACAAAATCAATATTAGTTATAAATGAAAATATTATAATAATATAACATCATATAGGCTTAAGTGTATAAGTGCGTTTTAATTGTGTCTTGTTTTCAAACAAAATTTTTCATATTTTAATGACATCAGCCCTGCGATTCTGTAACTCACTTTTCGAATTCTGAAAAGCTGGGAGCTTCTAGTTGATTGTTTATCACAATGCCAAATCATAAAATTACTGCTTCACGACTGATTTGAGAGCGACCGCCGATGCGAAAACCGCTGTGTGAGTTCGAAAAGTGAGTTACAGAATCGCAGGGCAGTAACTTATAATATTCTGTTTCTATCTAGTAAAATGTATTTTAAGGGTGATATGCAAATAAAAGTCTATATTAAATAAAGTATAAATTCATATTTATTCAATGTTATATCATACAAAATCATATTTATTATTTTTACTTAAACCCTTAAACTTGGTCAAGTATTGTAACAATTATATTTACTGATATTAAAAACGTTAGATAAAGCATTATTTCCATAAAATTGGTAGGTTAACGAAGTAAATTCGTGTTTCAGTTTTGTTTCCAATTACACTGTGTTCCCTGCTCATGTTTCCCGTACGAAAATGTAATGTAACAACAAAACTACGTATACATTACCAATATTTAATTTACTTTGCGTATAGTTGCTAAGGGTGCTACGTCAGCATCCCTATTGATTGTTTCTCTATTGTTGTTCTATCTTGCAGAACTCGTAAACTCATTTATATCTTTAAAACTTTAAGACTTATAGCAGACACTACCCAAATATGAATGTAAAAAAAAGGTTACTACTTGGCTGAAGACGTTGAGTTATGATGAAACAGAAGATCTAATAACTGTTATTCTGTAACACACCCACTCCCCCACACATATACACACACCCACGCACGCCACACACACTTAGAGAGAGAGACACACACACACAAACACACACCAAATTTATTTTTAAGACTCCGTTTGCAATGTTTTCTTTTGGCACTTAATACTTATTTTCTTCTATTGTATCTTATGACAATGACATGATTGTACGTGTTCCGGTCCGGTGTGGAGAGGCTGGCTATCTGTCACTCAGGTCTCCTGTTACAGAGACCAGTCTCTCACATACACTTCCTAATGTTATCATCTTAGTTTAATCATAAAAACCTTGTATGTACTAGTTGGTCCCAAAGTTCTGTCACTAGCACATTATTTCTACATTTAGCAGGATTTTATAAAAAATTATTGCATTCTATTTTGAATGTTTGATTATTGTTTTAAAACAAAAACAATAACTTTCTAATTTTTCACGATGGAGTGGACATTGAAAGTAAACCGAATAGTTGTTATTGTGAGAACTCCGAGTACCATTTTAAGTTGCTCAAAAATTTGAATATAACGCTTAGGTTTGTGTACGGTACTATTGATAGGTACCTTGAATCTCATTTGAGGACAAGAAAAGAACTGGCTGGCCACGCTCCGCAAAACACCAGCAGTAATCAAAGCTATAAGGGCGGATAGTAAGAAATCTTCCGAAAACAAATATGGATTTGCAGATGGGTGTCAGTAGGAAAACAGTAAAAAGGTTTTAAATGAAGATCTTGGTCACGAGCATAAAAAAAGTGGGACTTACTTAATGCTCGTCTAAAAGAATAAGGCTAAGAGATGGGGTGTTGTTTAAGCGGTACGCGAAAACCGACACCGTGATATCCTTTAGACGAAAATTTTTTCGATATTGAAGAGAAGTACAATAAACAGAATTATACAGTGTACGCTAGGAGTTTGAAAAGCTGAAAATAAAGTTCAAGGGTGCAACATGGACATATCCATATATAATGGTTTGGGGGAGTTCCTATTACGGGCTAACTGAGGTTAATTTTTTTCGAAAGGGTAAAACCATAAGTAAAGACGGTTTGATCCTTCAAAGACATCCAGACCCTATTTGCGGGACATCACTTCGGTTCCAGCAGGACTCTGGTCTGCAGTACAAAGCCAAGACCACTAAAGCCTGGTTTGAGCGTCAAAACATCGTCTTAATTAGACATGAGGATTGGCCTTCCTCCAGTCCGGACCTTAATCCTTTGACCAGAAATTATGAAGGGCTTAGAGAGGAAGGTCTGTGATAAACCTCATGAAAATTTGGAGAATCTACAGTCATCTTTAAAAAACCAGTACTGAAATCGACACGAATATGGTGCGTGCTGGATAACGACTATTAAGGGCTGTATTAAAAATGAGGGAGGTTATTTGAATATTTTTATGCTTTTTTATTCTTAATTAATGTACTAAGAATTGATATATCACTATTACAAACTGATCAGTACTTTTGTTTTTATATTATTTCCATTTATGAAGAATTGGGAGTATGTGAGAGAAGAAAATAAAGATTATTATTATTATTATATTATTGTTATTTCTTCAGCGAGTACTCAGGTGAGTTCTTCGTTAATTGTTACTCGTACGTCATTTTGTTAAATAGGCTTACTAAAGATTGGAAGCCTAAGTAGCCTCTGCCTACTTTCTATCAGGCGTTAATTTGTGACTGAGTTGTATATATGTCGCAGCCAACAAGTTCAATTAGCCGTTCAGTTAACAGCCTAGCCTTTTAACTAAACGGCGCCGTTTAACAAGTGGCCTGAAAGATATTCAGCCGTAGTGTTTGTTACAACATTTAATAAACTGGCTGGCTAATGCTTAGACCATTCGTACGATAGAGTCATTATTTGGCAGAAATACATGGCAGTTATACTTCTTTTGGCGCGTTTGAGAAAAACGATGAGAGTATTTTTTACGATGCGCGCGCACACCGTCACACAAAACTGACACCGCACACCGTCACAAAAAAACGACACCCTGAAATTAGCATAGTCAACATTTTAAAATGTTGACTATGCTATGTTGTTTTCTTTAATTATGTAGAAATATTGTTTTGTGATATTTAAATAAACTTTATTTAACTAGATAATGCGTTATAATAAAACTTTCAATGTATTAAATACCTTTTTTCTATTGTTAGTGTAGTTTTTTTCTACAAATGTAGAATAATGCGAAAGATAAAAAATTAAAAAGTTTTTTATCTTGTTACGCCAAAGAAGTATAATAAGTACACACATGTTTTTTTTTTATAGCGATGTTTCAATGGAGCAACGAGTAGCTTAATCATTGGTACTTGTATTAACTGCGTGTATTTCAGCAGTCCATTGGTAGGCACATTTTGATTCATTATGATCTACAGTTTGCAAATAGCCTGAGCTGGCATCCGGAATGGCGTTTAGTTCTCTGTATGCAGTTTCAAGAATATCCGGTGATAATGTTAAGCTACGCGATAGAATCCAAGCTGTCACTGAAATAGGTAAAATTACTGTTAAATTGGCTATTAGATTAAACTTATCTATACTATATATAGAATAGAAAACGTAAACTATCTAAGAAGAATTTCGTTTAGTATTGTCTTTTATTGACATAACTTTTATACATAGAAAAACACTTTTTTATCGGATTGAAGTTATGTATTTTTTTAGAGGACACCGTGAGCCATTTTTGCCAAAACCCACCATCTTTTAGTCGATACCAACTCCGGGGAAATAAATACAGATAATACAACTTTTTCTACAGCTGTGATACTTTTTGACATTCAACACCTTTTGTCTTCAGTCACCGTGACCACGCACGCTGTAAAGCACGCGAAACGTCGGTTAAATTTAAAATTATGTAAAATAATTGTAAATTTATATAAAAAAAAGACATAACTTCAATCCGGTAAAAAAGTGTTTTTTTAAGAATTTCGTTGTCACTGCATCTATTAATGTATTGAAATTCTCTCTATATAAGAAATAGTTAACCCATATCCAATAAGGGATCGTGGCTGACTGGATAGCTTCAATTGACAATACATACGAATGAGGCAATTATATCGTTAAAACAATGTGACAAATGAAGCGCCTACATTATTTTGCGGATGTCACCAAAATGTGATTTTTCTTCCGGGCCAAGAAATTCAAAACTAAAATATACTTACTGTATTTCAATTGCAAATTCTCGTTCACTCTGCAGCCGTAAAGCAGAGAGTAATTCGCATAATCTGTTGTTATAACAGACAACGGCACGCCGACTGGGTCTGTAATTATACACAATTCGTTTTCATTGCGAGCGTCAACTTCTCATGTTAGGGCTGTCAATAGTTATATAGGATCTATTAAGCAGTTTAATCGTACTAAAGTTGTTCGGGTTACAGCAAACTGTTCTATTATTAAGCTATCGCATAGCTTTTAACGCGGGCTTTGAGCGCGGCGAATCAAGAAATTCCGTAACGAAAAAAACCTAACACACGATGACGTAATATAGGTGCGGCCATACGCGATAGAGCGGGACAGAACGCATACTGTATTCACATCTCTCTGACAAGATCGGTGACGTAGCGTAAGCGCGGCCGGTGCAGCCGGTACGCGTTAGAGTTAGACAGACTACATAGGCGTGTTAGTCTGAGTCTGGTAGACTGGACCGATTTTGATGAAATTTTTTGTGTGTGTTCAAGGGGATCTGGGAATGGTTTAGATTCACAAATCAGCCCGGCAGATGGCACTGCAGTCGGTACTTTCATACTTTGCTTAATATCCTAATCGCTTTAAATATCATGCAGGACAACGTCTGTGGGGTCCACTAATAATTGCATAAGTTAATAAAAATGCTATGCAATAGCTTTACCGCGGCAGTCCCCGAATGCCACACGTTTTTTTTTATTATAAGTAAAATAAAGAGCGAAACGACTCGAAAAAATCTTAAAGGACGAGTGCAGGTGGGCTCTGGAAAAACACTTGCTGTGTAATTCTATCTACTGGCCTAATCTAACTAGTAAATCATTTAAACAAGGAGGGTGTATAGTGTGGCTTTAACTGCAACACAATCATATGCGATCAATATGCGCTGTTGCATATCAGGCGCTGGAGTCGGTAAAACATTATTTCTCCGCAAAAAACTTCGCGTTTTATCACATTTTTGAAACGCAATAATAATAATATTAGCGTCACGAAGATGTGCAACGTATTTGTCGAAGAAAAGGGAGAGATCGTTTGAGAGAGAGACCGATTGATAGAGAGTGAGTAGGGGGAATTACCTTATAGAAATTCTATTTTCAAAATTAAAATTTCGTAAAGAGAATTAATGCCCACATGGCATTTTTTTATCATCGTTGAAGAAATTTAAAAAAAAAATTGATAATTTGTATTAATTTTCGACACTTTTAACATTTTAATATTTTATTTCATTAAATTCCTAACATATCCTCCATTTTCCCTCCCTCTAAGTCTCTGAAATCTAAAGATTTAGATTTCTATAAATATGACTTAAAAATTGGTTTGCCAAAGAAGTTTCACTTCTGAAATGTGTACTTTGTACGCACGCACTTTATTTATTTTTTTTTATGTTTAAACTACGTCATTATAAATATGTTATATTACGGCATGTCATGTGGTGTCCAGTACAGCGTCAGCCCTAGTGTTAAATGCATTAATTAAATGGTGGACATTTACGGAAAAGCAAACAGAATGCGTGATTTCTTTGTATTATTTTAAACGTTGATGAGACAGATGCTTCATAAAAAATATGCGTCATCGAAACACTACGCACATAGGTAAAGTAGGAGATAGAAAAATATAATATTTTAGAGATTCCCGCAATCATTTCTGTATGTTAAAATAGCAAATATAATCTAGTAGGTAACATAGTTAAAATACATACATTAAGCATAGACCAACAAAACATACAGTGTACATAGCAGATCCAACAACGCCTCTTTCTATAGAATTAGCACTTACGGTACAAAATATATTTTCGTAAGTGCTACAAGTCGTAGATATTATAAAGAACATTTGTCAGTCGTATTTCATGGAAAATTTACATCGCATGCTATTTTGAATTAAGAAATAAACTAGACTTCTGCATACAGCTTTTAAAAATGGAATAATAAATTCAATATTTAAATAATCACTTGAGAAGACCATTGAACTCATTAAAATGTATCAAAGACAAAGTTTCTTTTCTATATCAAAATACAAGTCGATTATCAGATGGAACATTAAACATTAAAATCTACAACTTACTTTGAACTTAGAACTCGACTAGACTTTTGCAATGCAAATTTAAAAATGGAATAATGATTCGATATTCAAAGAATCACCTGACGAGATCTTATAAGTGTCTGAACAGATTACCTATATTATTCTTTTCTATTTCAAAGATAGCGTCATCACCAGAATAATAAGTGCTATTAACAGTAACTATGTATTGTATTTTGTCCTTGACATATCCGCTCTGAATCCTGACCCGACGTTCACACAGTTCAAATACTTTGAATGCACAGTGACCATCTTCTTCATACCAAACTGGGTATTGTTCTATGACATACCACTTTCCAAGGAACTAGAAACATATAGAATTCGTATTTTAGTTCCTTAAAAGCTTATCTTTTGGACCTTAAATTTTATAGCGTTAATATTAAACGTTCTGTACGTTTGATTCCCAGTGAAGGAATGACTATTTCTTGTTAGGTTTCCTTATAATTATGACACACAAATAAATATCTCGATTCATACCTCAGGATATATGGGGATTTCAAATAAGAAATCGTATGCTTGAGAATTATGTCGAAGACATGGTTTATGTATACAATATTGTTAGCGGGACCAGCAGCTATTGTCCTTGGGTGGGACCTCCTAAGGGTGTACCATAATAAGAAAGGTTTCTTCTTGTAGCAAAACTTTATATTTGTCCTCCGGAACAAAACCTGAGTCCTCCTGATGTACAGTCGAACTAAGGCAGTTTGAGATAAAATTTAGAAATAATAAGTACTTACTTTATCAATTTGGAAATAATCCATAGTGGTGATATTTGAACAATTTCCGAACTGAAGGATTTGTGACTGAACAATTTTGAACAAAAATAAAATAACCATGTTTTTGTACATTTCTCACGACGTTTGAGATGTATTGTTGATAATAGTATCTTATTTCGTATTGACACTTAGAGATTACCGACACTGATAAAGATCCAGTAATCTTTATCCCATACGTCACTAGATGGCGTTTCGTATGACTTTTTAAATAAGACTGAACATAATATATAAGTACAATTTTTAAGGAAGTAACTAGAACCACCGCCCGTGTGCACCTGTAGCTCCAAAACACTCGTGCCTGCCGAAATGTATTAAAGAAAAGCTGTGTAAAAAGGCTTACTATAAAGTTAACGATTATTTAGTTGATAAAAGGGCCTGGGACTAGTGCTAGACAAGCTGCTTCTATTAATTTGCGATATTTGTTTTAGAATAAGTATTGTTTGCCATATAGTATGATGATTTGCTATTTTAAAAGAGTACCGAGAGTTTTTTACGCCGGCTTTTTGTCTCGGCCTAGACCCTCTGTCTTCTTTGCCAATGAGTAGGAATGTTTACCGATTCATATTTAATGACGTGGAATAAGTGATACCTGTATCCTATATTCTATAATAAACATATTTTATTTGTTTATCTAAAAAAAAGCATTCCGGAAAACATATTATTGTTTACCAGGAAATCGAACTCGTTACACAACATGTGCCCAGCAAGATAAGGTACTAAGATGTCCAATCAACCAAGAAAAAACAAGTCGAAGGTTTTGCGCGCGGAAATACGTTTAAATAAATTGAAGGTAGTTAGTATCTCATTTGATTATAGATAGTTCCACGAAGATGATCTGTATTATAGTGTTGTTCTTTGTTTGCGTTAACGGTTTGGATCAAAATGTTACCTGTCCATATATTACTCCTAGGGAAGTAGATTTAAAAGAGGTGAGTTATTTGATGCATGTATTTATATTTTTTTATTTTTAAAGACATTATTTTGATTTGTGTATTAGGCAATATTATAGATATGTAGACATATAATATATATTTAAAAAAAACCCAAAACCTAAGCACAACACCAAATGCTCATCACATCGATGTTCGTCTCAGCCGGGGATCGAACCCGGGACCCATGGATTCGCAGTCAGGGGTACTAACCACTAGACCAATGAGTCGTCAAAGTCGTATATCGACATTAGAATATTGTGATTTGTGTATTAAATATTATAAAATGTCTATTATCTATTTATCTTCTGTGCTTATGATAATTGCGCACATAGAGCGAGAACTCTTGATCTCTCTTAATACACTGGGTTTATGCATGACCTCAGGTCTGTGAAAACCACTCTTAACTTCTAACAACATAGCAATGTTAGCCTAGTGGCTTCAACATGCGACTCTCGTCCTAGAGGTCGTAGGTTTGAACCCCGGCTGAGCACCAATAGACTTTCTGTCTATCTACGCAATTTAATAGAACATCTGTATTAACCACCAGCTATAAAATGCTTACAGATGTCCGGATGTTTAATACATTACTAGTTTTTACACGCAATACGATTATTAGTTTTGCCAGGAGATCTAATCATCCCTGATAATACTTACAAACGACACACAAATATTTTTCATATGCCCCATTTGTCTTGGAAATAGAATACAAAGCAAAGATTCTAAAAAAAGTTTTATAAAAGTGACAATAATAACAATAATTATAATATCTTATATCAAATACTTGTGTAAGAGCTGAAGCTTACAATCATTTTGTAACAATAAAAACTATGGCAATGATGAGTGGATTTAGATTGACCAGCGCTGTGGAACAGTCTGCTCTCAGCATATTGCTGAGCCAGGGCCAATTATAACCACAACACACACGCATTACAAACTTAAAACGTACCTTGTTCTTTAAAAGAAAAAAAAATATCTTTCTTTCTTTTTTTTTTGATTATGTTGTGTTTTTTGTTATAAATAAATGTTATATATATGTCTTTGTCTATAACTTCTCTTCAGTTTTATCAAGTAAGTTCTACGCCCTCTTGAGATCTGGTAGTAGCCATCACTCAGTATACCTATAATTTAAAATGTAGGGAATCTCTTAGAGATAAATTCAAGGAAATTAATATACTTACCTTTCCCTCGCAATATATTTATGAAAATATTATGTATGTATACAAAAATAGTGATAAGTTTACTAGAATAGAACATACGCACAATGTTAATACACGGAACAAACGCAGGCTGCAATTTCCCCGTACTAGACTATCTAAAGTTAGTAATTCTTTTTTGGGGAAAGGGATACTCTTCTTTAATAAAATCCCAGAGGCTCTTTTATCACTGCCTTTCAATAAATTTAAGAAATGTATTAAAGAAAAGCTGTGTAAAAAGGCTTACTATAAAGTCAACGATTATCTAGTTGATAAAAGGGCCTGGGACTAGTGCTAGACAGGCTACTTCTAATCAATTTGCGATATTTGTTTTAAATAAGTGTTGTTTGATGATTTGCTGTTTTAAAAGAGTACCGAGAGTTTTTTACGCCGGCTTTTTCTCTCGGCCTACACCCTCTGTCTTCTTTGCCGATGAGTAGGGATGCCTTCAAATTTAATGACGTGGAATAAGTGATACATGTATCTTATGTTCCATAATAAACATATTTTATTTTATTTTTATTTTATTTTAATAACTTTGAGATATTTTGACTTCATTTGACGTTACAGCTGGATGGAAAATGGCATATAGCAGCAGTTGCGACAGATTTAGAAATAGAAGGAGAATGCGCGACCATCCTCTTCAATCATAAAAGCAACAACACGACGGACGTGTCAATCAGTTGGATTGTAAACAACTCAGTTAGCTTCTACAATGGGTCTGTGGCTTTGACTGTAGATGACAGCGGTGGTGACTTGTTACTAGTAACCTACACGGGTAAGCTAGGCACGAATACGACATTTTAAAACGTGATCTAAAGATATGCCATATTTTTTTTACGTAACTCCATTCCGGCCTAGATTGATTAATTTGGGGTATTCTTTTGTATTTCTCTCAAAGTTTGTTTGATTATTTTATATAAAAATACATAATATTGAACATAGTTCATTTTAAACTCAAAGACAATTTTTATCCGAGGAAATTGTTTTCGGTTAATCATATTTATAAAATAAAAAAAATGGTGCATGTACTTGCTACGTGCTTGCTATGTACGCGCGTAAGAAGTTATATACTTCTTTGGCTTTCTTTATTTTTTTAAAATAATTAATAATCAATATTTAACGTTAATAATTTAATAATATTTAGTATATTATTTAATTAATATTAATACTAATAATTGTTATTATTTTATTATATTATTCATTCAATTTAATAACTAGGTATGTTTCATAACCTTTTAACTAAGTAACAATAGGTCTTTGTGAAAAAGTATTGCTAAATTTCTTTGAAAAAATAATTAAAACTCCTTTATTTGTTTAAAAGGTCACAAATTCATAGGTCATTCAAAATTCTTGGCATAGCTACTGACGTCACGCATATTCTATTTCTTTTTACTTGTAGATTGTCTTATTCCCATCTCGCTCGCGCACGCTTGGCGCCCGGCTTAAAAATACTTCGTTAGTGGGCAACTTCATACTGATAATTTTATGTAACGGTAGGCGCGCATCGTAAAATTTCACTCTCATCAATTTTTCATAACGCGCCTAAAGAAGTATAACTTCAAAAATTACGAAGGTTAATCTTTTCAATAGGTCAACAGGATCATATAACACAAAAGTATCATAAAAGCTTAATAGTTTATTATTATCTTCTATTTGTATATTAATGTACACACCAACTTAATATATTGGCAAATATGACCGTCTTTTTATTAAAGATTTAAATACGCTTATTTGAGTTTACACACGTGTGAGCAATAACTGTAATTCATTTAATATGCATATGCATTATAATTTTCAGATCAGAAATCAGAAACGTATTCAATATTGGATGTAAATTACGAGCACTATGCGGTAATATTTGCATGTTACAACAATTCAGATGGAAACAGCAGTACTTGTAAGTATATACTTCGATTTTTATGATAATAATATGTATTTTTTTCAGCTCATTATATTTTAAATACACGTCGCTGTACAAAATTATTTAAAGATTCTTATCTATACGACAATTATAGTTAAATATGGTATATCAGTAACGCTACAATATTTTTTAGATCTGGGCCTCAGATATCTGTATCTGTTTCATGATCATTTATCAATCTAATAGGCAAGTAGTTGATTAGCCTCCTGTGCCTGAGATACGCCGTCGACTTTTTGGGCCGGTTTCCTTTGGATGTTTTCCTTCACCGTTCGAGCGAATGTTAAATGCGTACGTAGACAGAAAGCCCATTGATGCACAGCCGGGGATCGAACCTACGACCTCAAGCCACTAGGCCAACACTGCTCTATGCTGCGAACTTGAATCGGCAAAAAATAGATATCACGGTCGGAAATTTAGTGACATTCCGTTTTCCTAACATATGCCATGGGTTCTTAATAATACCCTGATTTTGTTGACCTTTTATTCATGTTAATAAGCAAATTTTGACACTGTAGATAAATTAATTACCAATGGTTTCTTTACACAATATAAGATTTTTATATTGTGTAAAGAAATCTTCCAGGTCGATTCGGCCTACAAAATTCTTTTTCACAAAAACCTTACTTAATAGACCTGAAAATCGACTTTCCTAATGAGCCTAAGCCGGAAAAATCATTTCCTCAATGAATACAATGCACGGGGTATCGAACCAGTGACCTTTACAATTAATTATCCGCTCGGCTGGAGGTCAGGTTCGTTGAGACAGAAAGCGCGTGACTTTATTGTTAAGTTTTTGCTTTGAAATGAAACTAATTAGAAAAAAAAAAATGAAATGAACTAACTTGAATCGGCATTAGTTTTTAATATTCTGATAATTCATAAATCATTGAATTTAATCGACAACTAAGCAAATGCATGTTAAAGAACGGGCTAGTCAAGATTTTAAAATAAATTAATTCTAATTAAAACATTGACAAATGGAGTGCAGTAAGATCCATTTTCCTTGATCTCTTCTTCTTCATTGTATGACCCAGTATCTTTCAAGTAAGTAATCAACCATATTTGTTTCTGATTATTAAAATATTTTTCAGATGAATTATGGGAACTCACAAGAATGCCCCACGTGAAGAAAATGGATGCAACAAAAATCGACCAAGCTATTGCCAATTACAAGTTGGAGGACACGCCCTTATTACACTTTAATAATACGGAAGATACGTGCAGAATTAATAGTGGAAGCCTTTTAAGTCCTGCTTCATTGATTCTTACGTCTACGGCTGCTATTACACTGTTTAGGCGGTTATATTAATTTAAATAATAACTAGCTGACCCGGCAAACCTTTGTTTTGCCATGTATATTATTTCTAGGAAACATTTTTTTAGTTCAATAAAAATAACTACCTACAATAATAAAACATAGGGGTTGATAAAACATAGGGGTTAATTAAAATTGGACTTTTAATTATTTTTTTTATGATTTTTGTATCATAAAAAAAACACAAAAAAAATCTAAAAAATAAATTTTGGGTTGACATCCCCTTATCACTAAGGCTGTTGAAAGATAGATAGTAGCCGATTCTTAGACTTACTGAATATTACTACATATTTCTTAGAATTCGTGCCTTTCGAGGAGTATTGGTAGGAACATTGTACATGAGAAGGTTATTTATTAGACAGATTATTGATAGGCCATCAAGGCTTAAGCCGTTTCGGGAGGTTTATGGGAACGTCTAACATTGTAAAAGTTTGTAATTTTTATCAATTTAATCAAAAACTAGATTAGTGTGATTGTACTGTAACAAGGCTTAAGACTCTTCACATTTTAGCAACCCACTATATAGTGAATGTCTATGGCTGCGCAGACTGGCCTTTTTAGTAGCGCAGGTTTACCTATCAAAAAATAAATAGTATAAATAAAACTGTTATAACTAATGTACATGGGTACTGTGAAATCTCTTTTCGCCTCGGTGTAAACACAATTTGTTAGAATTTGGAGGAAGGATGTATTGTTCCACCAACCTAAAGGGAGGATCAATCTAACCACTGACTGGCCCGAAGGCCCCTAGTGTCTAAGGCCGAGAAGTTGTGTTCTTAGTGGTTGGAATAACTTTGTTAGTGCGTTATAGGATATGACGTCAACTAAGTGATTGTGCCGTAAACTTACTTTTTCGGATAAAGTAAATCAGATGTTAAATATATTTTAAAGTAAATCAGTGTTATTACTGCAATACTGTTTTTCTCGTTCCTTCGACTTAAATTTAACGTGTGATGTAACGAGAAAAAACCTCATTAAGTTAATTATATGTTATAAGGGGGGATACTTTATAAGTACTATAGAAGAATTCATAGTGAGTTCACGAAGAGCTTATTAAAAATTATAAAACAGTGATATAACACTATTGTAACAAGACGACAAATTGTAAAATGTTACTTTAGAAATTGCATTGTAGTGAGATTTAGTATTTGGTTTAGACTATACAGTCTACATATACGACAGTTATATATACTATACCTACCTACGGCTCGCTTATCTGCTATTTTTAATGGTCCAGTGAATCTCTCTCTTACAACTTGATTACTAACATTGATGAAAATATTGATTTATTTTAGAACAATCTTCCAACTTACCATAACTTTGTTTGTCATGTTCTTAATGAGGTTTTAGTTTCCATTTAGTTTTAGTTATTATTAATTTTTGTTTGTTTATTATTGTTTTTATTTAATTTTATGGTTGCTTGTTTAATTTTTTTCCTTGCTAGGTTTCTTATGTTATAATATAATTTATGTGTGTGGGTAAAATTTGTGATGTCATATTTTCTTGTATTATTTTAATTTTATGCATACACGTTCTTTCAGGACTTATAATTAAATATAATACGTTCGTGATATAGTGACAATACCAACTTCGCGAAAATAGCGTTAATATGGCAATATTTGACTCGTAATAAAAAAAAATCTGTTAAAATTAATATGGCTAATGGCAGTCTCTCCCTGACAACGATTGCTGAATGACGTCGAATTATATAAATAACTGCTGACCGGGAAAGTTTTGCATATCATTTATAATAAAAAATGGGGTTGATTTAAGTAGGGGTTTTAATTTAAGATGTTTTTTTAAAAAACAGAAAAAATATCTAAATAAAAATTATTGGGGGTGGACACTTAAATTTAATTATCATAGGTTGTCCGATCTCAACATACCCAGTATGCCCACACAAAATTTCATGAGAATCGGTCGAGGTTTTCGAGGAGGTATTAGGCAACAAATCGGTGACACGAGAATTTTATATATTAGACCGTCATTGCGGGGGGGGACCTTTTAAAAAAAATTTTATTTTATTTTAAATTATTACATTAAATTAATTATCCAGGTTACTAAGTATGTTAAGCTTAGGTTTCCTTGAAAATCGGTGCGGTTAACTAACGGCCGTCATTTTACGGTTGTTAAGCTTAGGTTTCGTAGAAAAGCGGTTCCGTTAACTAACGGCCGTCATTTTACAGTTGTCAATACTTTTTAACATAATGCAAAAAAATAATCATTTTCGCTCGTCCAAGTCACGTTTCTACTCATTGTATTAATTAAATTGGGCACATAGCGAAAAACTTTGAACTACTGTTTATCACCGCTATGACGGCCGTCATTCAAATGACAGCACCACTATTTGACGTTACGGTGACACTCAACGTTCTCTTGAAAACCTCCCGGTGTTTTTGCAACGTGGGTGACTCACCGACGTTACATTACGGCCATTAGATAACGGCACCGCTTTTTTAGGAAACCTAAGCTTTAGTATTAAGTATAATAAATATTATTAAAGGCTTCAGGTTTTTATTTCTTGTTTGTATGTTCTGTAAATTATTTAGATTTTATACAATTTTAGTATAATAATAATAAAGACGGTTAATCTCCAATCCTGATAAAAAAATGATGTAAATCTTAGATTTTTTGACATTTTATACATTATTTTTATCTGGTTATCCTATATATTCTATATCCTAGCTACTTTCAGTACAGTCGATCGCAACCCCTTCACGGGTAAAGGCCTCCTCCAGCTTTTTCCAACTGTCTATGGATTTCTTTCTCCATTCACTTCCTGCTACCGCTTCTGTTTATTCTATCCATCTTTTTTTGGGCCTCTTCTACTACCCTACTAACAATTTTAGTAAACATAAACTAATCTACGACTCCATCCTACAAATTTACCTATAGAATCAAAAAGCGTACCACTTTTAAGCACCTCACGAGTAATCTACCATTGTGCGTCTACCACCAACGTATACTTCGGTATTAATTATTATTAAAGCTCAGTTGCCTTTGTACTGTATAAGTATGGGATAACTGCAGTATGAAATTTTAAGTGGCGGAGTCCAACGAGTAGGATCAAAGGTTTAAAGATCTGAGATTATCTGAAACTATCGAGCAGACTCACTACAATTATAATCTCGAACGTGTACCCACTTTCAGAACGTTTACGGGAAAAAGAAATGCAGCCCTGTTTCTTGAAAAACATTCAGTTAAGTTACACTAAGTGCTTCCGTTTAGGTGATCGTTGACTTTTACTGCTGTTTTTACAGACACTTTGAATCTAATTCACACAGTAAAACCGTCTCTATGCCGACGCACTAAGGACTTGGACGTGGAGTTAGTAGTTAAAAGAGGAGTTGATTACGATAATGCCCGCAGGTGAAACTTGGGAGTCTTGAATGGTTTGTTGGTTGGGTACGAAATAGTTGGAGATTTCGAAACAATGTTGCGAGTTTCTTAACGATTCTTTGAACATTGTTTGTGTTGTGTTGTTTATGCATTGGTATGAATTAAAAAATTTAATCTACTAGACGCAGTCTGTTGCGTCAAGCTCTATCAATAAAGCTACATCAATAAAGCTACAACACTTTTAGGTGTGGGCCTCAGATTTTTTTATCTGTTTCATGATCATTTGTTAATCTAATAAGCAAGTAGGTGATCAGTCTGTGCCGGACACGCCGTCGATGTTTTCGGTCTAAGGCAAGCCGGTTTCCTCATGTTTTTCTACACCGTTCGAGCGAATGTTAAATGTACATAATAAAAAGGATGTCCATTGGTGCACAGCTGGGCATCGAACCTACGATCTCAGGGATGAGAGTCGCACGCTGAAGCCACTAGGCCGACACTGCTCTTTAATCTTTATTAATCAAAACAAATATAACACAAAAAATATTAACAAAGCAATAATATATTTTTTTAAACAGTACATTACTTTTATGGTTCTGGTATTTATGATTATATAATATAACACATTTTATATTATTCACGAGGAAAGTTCTCCATTATATTTTAAAGCTATCGCTTGTGTATGTGTGCTATAAAGTGATGTCTATTATTTTATATATATTTATTTTTATATCAGTAATATTAGCTGTAATATTGGTTAAATTAAAATTTGTTTGTTTTTCGTAAATATTTTATTAATAATTATTGTTAGTTCAGCTATAGCATTTTAGGTTTATATTAAAAGTAGAATTGTGTATAAATAATTAATATGTAAAAATAAATTAAATCCAATCACACAAGTCTTTAATAATGAAAAATATGATTAAATACATTCCGCTAACATAGTAATAAGATGCATAGAGGTGTGTTTCGGAGTCAAATCACATATTTCGTAATAATAAAATAAAACATTTATTTATTTATTTTCCTTATTTTTAAAAAAAAAAAAAAAAAAAAAAAAAAAAAAAAAAAAAAAAAAAAAAAAAAAAAAAAAAAAAAAAAAAAAAAAAAACCCCAAAATTATTAAAAAAAAAATTTTTTTTTTTTTTCGCCGCCGGGGGGAAAAAAAAAAATTTTTTCCCCCCCCCCAAAATTGGGGGGGGGGGGGGCCCCAACCCCGCGGGAGTGGGGTTCCCTAAAAAATTTTTTCCGCCCCCGAGGCACTGCCAGCAATTGCGACCGCAACATAGCTCATATTAACAAATAGTACTATAATTAAAAATTGAAAACGCTAATAAAGTCTTCCATTAAAGCCTAGTCAACACTATGAAAGCCTGCGACTCATTCTCTTTGGTATGAAGTTTCAAAATTCATAATGAAAACTGTCAAGCAGCACTTATTTTTCAGAATTAATATCCTTATATGCGCCGACAACTTTTATATGACTCCCTGAACGGTAATTTTTTGTCGTTGCATCGTTTTAACGTCCGGATAAATTTTCATTGTGCGCTGAATTTAGAAGTTTTATAATGAACATTGTTTTTGAACTATGAGTTTTTTTGCTATATTAAAGTGATTAATTCAATAGATTAGTTTAGAAAATAATAAGGAACTGCAAAAGGTACCTAAGTCTGCTTGAATTGGAATATCAATGAAATAAATGTTAATATTTATACTTAAGTGTAATTACGTTTGACAGATATTTATTTAAACGGTCTTAAAAAGAATAAATATGGAGCATGTAAATTGTAACGGTGTCTTAAATCTAAACCCAAGAAAAAGACGCTTATTGATTAGTTCATAAACATAGTGTACGGAAAGAGCACCGGCATTACCACCCCGGAAATGTGAACTATTAATAAATAATAATAATATTTTTTAATTGCTTAGCGTCATTTGTAAGTCCACTTGCAAACCCTGTTAACTCAATGCCGCAATTAATTGAGAAAACTAATTAAAACGATTAGTCTTAAAATTACGATATTAAGATGCATTTTTTTGTGTATTACATAAACTTAGTAGGACATCGAATTAAATTATATTATCAAATAAAATCACTGTTTCATAATCATTTAATATGCATTAAAATTAAACATAGCTAGTTTTGCAAAAGAAATTTTAGCATAGATACATTTTGAAGCGTATCAATATGATAACTGACGAACTATAATGGCGTTACAGTGTAGCCAACACTAGAAAAAAAAAGTACTAATATTTCATAAATTCTGTTTACGAAATTTTAATTTTAAAAATAGAATTTCTATAATGTAATTCGCTCTTCTCACTCTCTCTCAATCGGTCTCAGTGGCTCTCTCGCTTTTCTTCGACAAAACCGCTGCACATCGCTAAAATTTTACCCTCACGCGCCTAAGTTTCACTTCAAAAAGTTAACTCCGACCGACAATCACGACAGTTGTCTTTCCTTACAGAATCAAGTTTCTAGCTAATTATCGTTATTAAGTGAGGCCATTAATGTATAATCTATATGATTCATAATTTCACTGAACAAATTGAAAGTACGATTCATTTAAAAATGTGCATTTTTAATTCATCAAAGGCATACTCGAGTATTGACGTTAGAGAAATAATATAAAACAAAGACACGTCGGAACACGTTTATAGAAATATGTTTGGTGCTTTGGCTTGTTTACCCCAGCATATCGCCAAGAAAATTAAACGTACGGGCCAATTTGAAAAAGGCAAACAGAAAAGAATAAAAGTTGAAAGTGGCTGGCGGATTGTTTTGCTCGGCATGCCTTTAGAGGGAGAATTGGTTGAGCTTTGAAAGTTTTCAACTTCAAAGGATAGAAAATATGCGTGTACACACGGACTAGGAAAACGACTAACACAGGTTTTAATTTAGTCAGCGGGTAGTAAGCTTTTAGTGTGTGCTTGTTTCTGTGTTTTATTTATTTTGTATTATTGTGGAAAAAAGTTTGTGTATTTATAATACGGAGGTATGGGGAATTTCACATTCACATTAAATGTGTTGCTATCTTATAAAACACATCTAAAGCCAAAATTTTAAAAGACAATATTAGCGCTTGTCATATGATTACACATCAAAATTACGCATGACCGACTTTAACCAACACAACAGACTGATATATTATGTGTTATTGATTATTTGTATCATAAACGTTTAATGTTACGAATACGCGATTTTGAAACTACGGTATACTAGGCCTATTGAGTTATATAATCATTCAAAATATACATTCAATCTTGTCTAGGCAATGTTCGTCCACCCAACTATGCCCAACAGTCGGATGAATCCAAACGCTACAAAAACGAAAGAAAGGGTTATATCGTACATATTTTTATTTAAATAGAAATGCCGATTAGTTAGTTAATAACAATAAAATCTACCGCCAGAAAAAAAGGCCAACTTCATAATAGCCAGTCTTTGAAGCCATGTGTCTAGCTTAAATTGGAAAATCAAATTAATGGCAATCAATGATTTTTGCTTTACCAACGATACACTATTTCTCGATATATTTCATAACGAAGCTTCTAAATAAAAGATTTATATATCTAAATTCCACCAAGGGCATACACAATAGTGTATCGATTGAATAGCAGGTAGCTTTGTAATACATTGTACATTTAAATTAAATAATTTTACGAGGTGAGCTTATTTATAAAGAAAATATTGTTTTTTTAATTAGTATTGATATCGCTATTAATAAAATGGTTGGTGGTAGAAGGGTGATTATGTAGATTTATTCACTAATTTGTTTATATATTCAAGCCTTTTTCCCGAAAAAGAGAGACCACATATCTCCACTCGCTACGGTCCTGACATACCTCTCTCGATTTATCATTTACCTTCTTGACATTTACTATGCATGCTCTTCGGTTTCGGGGATTTTTGACTTGTCCCTTCTTTAGTACCTACCTCTTGTAGTTGGTCCAGGCATGTCCAACAAGGCCTACTCAACCGGAATTCACCATCCATGGTTGCCTTGTATTTCCTTCTTGTACGCTTATCACTCAATAACCCAACCATCTAAGCATTCCCGTATCATTGTCACTACGACCTCTGTTGATGCCACCCCCGACACCTCAGAGACTCGGGCCTGCACAGGATTATACGTTTAGATGTTCGTTTGAGAACGCCCGTCAGTAACCAAAGTAACCTCGGTGCGGTTTGAATACCGTGGGTTTGACTTCGTACGTACTACAATTGTAGCCATCCGACGACGCCTCAGAGACTCGCCTGACAGGATTAAGTTTAATTTCTTTGAGAACACCCGTGAGTAACCAAAGTAACCTCGGCGCGTTGAATACCGGTGGGTGACTACGTAGTTTTGTGAGACGGTTTGACGTATCGCTGGCACCGCCTCAACCCACGCACCCCTGCTAGTGCGTAATTGTAGGATGTTGTCTTGAAATGAAACTGCTTTTCTTTCTTGCTTCGCCGAGATTCGTGGTCCCAGTCGTCGGAGGAAAGAGGATTTTGGTAAATCTCGGAGCTTAAGTACTCAACAGTATACCGCGACGAGAGCTGCGCTTACAGTCATCTGCGCGCGTATACCGCGACGAGAGCTACGCGACCCTTTTATTCGGCGAAGCATTTATAATATTTAACTATATTTTTCTTTACATATTTTTACCTAACTTATTTATAATACTTAATTTCTACTTATGAGCTACTAACAATATTCTTATTTAACTTATAGCCCATACTTAATTACCACTTACGAGCTGCAAACAATATTCATATTTAACCTATAGCTCACACTTAATACTATTTAAGTCTATGAGTCGCCAACATTCTCCCCCTCGTGCGTAGCACCGTCATTCCTGCACGGCGACTTCGCAGGCACCAAGATGACGATCCTGACGATGTCTTCGTAACACTCCACCTTAGGTTGCGACGTCCACGATCCTGGTTCTTCCGTCGGGCCCGGGTACGTGGTTTCGATTGTTCCCCGGCCAAGTGCATAGTGGTAGTGTGCGATCTAGAAAGAACCACGTCGCCTGGCTGCAGGCTCGCCTTCCCGTCTTCTGTTTTTCCTGGGCAGTAGCGTGGGCAAGTACTCCCGTAGCCATCTCCTCCAAAAGTGATCAGAAAGTCGTTGGACGGTCTTCCAATCTTCTCTGCCCACCAGCTTTGCATCAGGAAAATACCCAACGGTGCAGCTCCTCTGATCGCCCAATGAGAAAGTGATTTGGGGTTAGCCCTCCTCTTCCGAATTATAAGCTAGGTTTTTATTAGTCTAGAATTGACTATTTTTGCTTCCAACAAAGCTGCCTGCATTCAAGACTCGGCAAACTGGCTGCATACGACGTCTCCTTTGCATCAATGAAGTATGCAGCTCCCCTCAGGAGAATGTCTGTTCGCGGAGCTCGTTTTTCCCGATTTCTAGAGTCTTCCGCGCCTCGCGTCTTAACGATTCTATTTTTCGGCGCCCATCCTCGTAACTTGAAGTGTGCTTCTTATGGATCAGTCGACTTGTTAACTCTGGTAATCGTCCTGTATGTGGAAGCTATGCAAATGATCAGCATAAGTGTCGTCTTTTGCGGTTTCATATTAAAGAAGGCCTTTGCTCTAATTTATAAAGGAAGACGGCGACGACGCAGTTTCAAAAACCACTGATAAATACTGTAATCCTTCACTAGCGCTTCCTTGTCTTTTTCGCCAAGGTATCTGAGACTGTTTCGATCTTCTTCAATATTCCCTGCAGAAACATTTGTTTTGTATCGCCCGCTATTTACGACCTTGACGAATCGAGTACCACTCCAAATATTAATTGCAGTAAGTCCGGCTGACAGCATAACGTCTTTGAGGTGACTCCATTGTATTTGGCCACAACGTCGAAGACAATTCTTAGCTTCTCATTCAGAGGGTGAACCATGGGAAATTAGGCAGATACCACTTTTCTTAGAGCAGTCGGTAGTGCTTCTTCAGCGTATTGTTTTCAACAGACCTATCTGGTATGTTCATTTTTTAATTTAGCGTCCTTAGTAGTTTTTCTTCTATTCTTTGAGATCTGTTGAAAGCTGCTGCGTAATGTTGGAAGTTGTATGTCTTCCTTTTTCCACAACAGTCCGACCTCGTATTGCCATCTTCCAACTGTCGGCTGGTTCTTTCCAATATGTCCAGTGCTCGCTTTCGATATCCGTTGAAGGCTTCTTCGGCTGAACCCCAAAGACTCAATAGTAGAGTTTCCCTCGCGATGATTATTATTTGACGACTTGGTGTGAATGTTTCACATAATGATGGAGACACGCCGTCTGTCGGAGCCATGGAGAACCCATCCTAACTTTGGACCCACCGCTCTGGCTTTCCACGTCGTATTGTAACGAGACAAGTATTCCCAATTGTTTGGCCAATGAGCAGCTTGGCGCCTCAGCTTCGTAGCACACGTCTTGTAGTACCCCGCAAGTGATGACACTTCTTTAGTCGGCTTTTATCTACGAGTTGTGGGGTTAATTTGAGCTCCTTGATAGTTTTGCCCTCTTGAGTGTACTTTTCTCGCTTTGCTTGATCCCTTTCACTTCGATTCTAAAATAAGTATTTTTATTTGCCCCCGCGGTTTGTTTCGAGACCCTGGCTCGAGCCATTTGTGAGCAGTATTAGCTCATCTGCAGGCAGTACTTTTCCCAGCCGTCCGTATACCCACCTTGAGCATCTTAAGAAAGTGGTGTTTAGAGACGTGTGTCTGTGGCCTCTTGCATTTGTCTCCGACTCAATGTAGTAGGCTGGTCGCACAACTGAGGCGGAGTTCTTCGGTTCCCAGGAGGATTGAGAGACCTTAAGCCTCTTAACTGTTTCCCATCTTGTTGACTGCGCTTTTAGGAATCTTTGGAGTTGAGTTATGTGGTTCAATTGGGCTTGATTTCTTCAGGTCTACTCCTTTCAGCGATATAAGAGGTATGGTCTTGTGCGTCGTGTACGTTTTGGTGGACCGGAAGGCGCATTTGTCCGCTTTAATTGAGGAAGTGTTATCATTTGATATACTGAAGATCCTCTTCCTGCAGCCGTGAAATATACCATCTGAATTAATTGAGGCATTTCTTTTATTAGATTTGGTGAGTAGAGGTATTGCGGCCTCTTCAATCCCTTTATGGCGGCCACGTTATTTATGGGAAGACAATCTGGGTTTTCCGTCGTTTGGGAAGCTTAATTCTCCTGCTGAGGTGGTTAAATCTTGGCGTAAGTTAATAAATCTTCTGTTGCTTGAGTAAAGAGGTCTTAAGTTTCTTGCGGTTTAAGAGAGCCGCAAGAGCAGAGAACATCGAATGTATTCAAACACTCGAGCATGAGCTGTCGCTTCAAATATTGGAGCTCTTGAATGTACTTCTGGGGATGTGTAGGCTTCCTTTTGGTAGTTTGAGTCGTTTGGTTTGGCGAAGAGCATCCAATTTGCTTTTCTTCATGGTTATGTTGACATCTTTATAGGAGTCTCTTCTCCTTTCTGCTTTAACGCAGGGGCCGTAGGAGCCAGCGGGTTGTGGTTGGCTTGGGGCGGGGTGGACCCTGAGAAGAAGCGGGTGGGGTGCGTCGTCGATTGCTGTCTCGGAGACGTAGTGGAGGTAAAAGTGTTGACCCTATCGTTAGATGGAGACTTGTGAACGGGAGGGTCAGGACCACTTAGCCACCCACGACACTAGAGCTCGCCGAAGGATATATTAATTTTTGAGAACGCCCGAGTAACCAAAGTAACCTGGTTGAATACCGTGGGGTTTGACTTCGTACGTACTGAATTGTAGCCATCCGACACTCAGAGACTGCCTGAAGAAATTGAGAAACACCAGTAACCAAGTAACCTCGGCTTTGAAACCGGGGGTTGACAAGTGTGAACGGTTACGATGTGGACCGCCTCAACCCACGACCTGTGTGCGTAATTGTAGGATGTTGTTGAAATGAAACTCTTTCTCGGGGTGGGCGAGAAAGAGATTTTGGTAAATCTCGCCGAGCTTAAGTACTCAAAGACCGGACAGAGCTGGCAAGTCATCTGGGTCGGACGAGCTAGCGACCCTTTTTCGGCGAAATTTTATAATTTATTTAACTATATTTTCTTTACAATTTTTACCTAACTTATTTATAAACTTAATTTCTACTTATGAGCTACTAACAATATCTTATTTAACTTAAGCCCATACTTAATACCATTACGAGCTGCAAACAATATTCATATTAACCTATAGCTCACACTTAAACTATTAAGCTATGAGTCACTACGACCTCTATCAACCCAAACTGGTCTTGTCCCAATATTACCTATCCTATCAGGTAATGTTACACCTCACATACTTTTTAACAAAAAAAATAGGGTTAAACCACAGACACCAAATACATATACACGAAAATTTTGTAAAGATCGGTCAAGGTGTATTGGAAGAGTGTAGAGTGTTATAGTTTTATATTGCTGGATATTTCAAGTGCCCTTCAGGAATCATGTCTAGCGAGAGACGTTACATTATTTGATCTATAAAATCTATGTAATGTTTAAGTAAATGTATGTTAGTTATTTCGACTATGTATTTGCGTGTTTTTCCACGAGAATGTAAGTGCGTACTCCTATTTCACCATGCCAACTGCTGATAGGGGAAAAATCTTTGTTTTTAATTTTTTTATTATTCTTAATTACTTAAGATAATGTGGAACATGGTGAAATGGTTGCAGCTCCTTACAAACATTGTGTATAACAAAAAACTTGGCGTTTAAAAAGAGTGGCGGAGAGTTTATTGCCAGTTCTTCTCGTCCGTTCTACGCCCTTGATTTGAGAACTGGCAGTTAATGTAAAATTAGAAGCATTTAGCATTTAATATGTATTTCTTTATTGACGTTCATAAGTGTACATTGTGTTACTTAAATGAATAAATAATTTTGACTTTTTGAATAATTTATTACATAGGCAATAAAAATCATAGTGCTTCTTTTATTCTCAAAATTATTAAAACAATAGAAAATATTCCTGCTTAGTAAGCATAGACTCGGTATAAGCCAATGTGTTCGATACTATATTACTTGAATTCTAATATCCGGCTCTTTGTTGTGAACAATTAAATATTGAGCTGAACTGCCGTCTCCATACATATACCGAACCGTACAACAGGTTTTTTGTTTCCATATTTTTCAACGTTACATGACATATTTTATGAAATTTCATTATGAAACGTGTAATGCCCTACTCATATATATGATACATTTATTTATTTACACTTCGTTACCTTATACAAAAACATACATATAAAAAAGCAGGTTACATAAGTTATTAGGCAATGGGCGGTCTTATCGCTAACAAGCGATTTCTTCCAATCAACCCTAATATCGTACAATAAAAAAAGAAACACCTACAGAGGGTAAAGTACAAGAAGTGCAGCAATAATTAATCAAAATAACAAATAACACTACCCTATAACTAAAATAAAGTAAAATCTAAAGAAAAAACAAAAAATAAATTAAGAAACAATAACACGTATAAACACGAATGTAAAAGCTAATCCAAGTGTTAATTGAGTCACAATTTATATACATAAATAACTAATTACAAGGCAAAAGAAAAATCTATGAAGTCCGAATTTTATATTTCGTTATTACCTAGAAAATATTAAATTGCATTTGCGCTAAGTTAAAATACAAGCAATAACTACGATACAATAATAACATGCATGAAATTTGTGTTAAATAGATAAGTCGGATTAAGCTTTACCTAGCTGAACATAAAGTTGCGTGTCCTCCCTACGATTCTACGAAAAAAAAAAATGTTTATTCCACGTCATTAAATTTGTCTATGTAGACATCCCTACTCATCGGCAAAGAAGGCAGAGGGTGTAGGCCGAGAGAAAAAGCCGGCGTAAAAACTCTCGGTACTCTTTTAAAATATCAAATCATCATACAAAATGACTATGGCAAACAACACTTATTTAAAAACAAATATCGCAAATTAATTAGAAGCAGCCTGTCTAGCACTAGTCCCAGGCCCTTTTATCAACTAGATAATCGTTAACTTTATAGTAAGCCTTTCTTTAATACATTTCTTAAATTTAGTAAACGGCAGAGATTAGAGCCTCTGGGATTTTATTAAAGAAAAGTATCCCTTTTCCCAAAAAAGAATAACTTTGATAGTCTAGAAAGGTAAGTATATTAATTTCCTTGGATTTACTTCCCGTGATTACCTACATTTTAAATTATAGATTGCACGAATAGCCTCTCTCTTCTGCAGCATGAAAATAGTTCGACATCAGCAGCATGACCCCATAATAATAAGCCATAAGGTATTAAGCTGTGAAAGTAATTAAAATAAACAAGTCTAGCTGTATCGACATCAGTTAGTGAGCGAATTTTTTTAACCGCGTAAGCTGCAGAACTAAGACTCTTCGCCAATCCGTTAATATGAGGGGACCACTGAAGTTTTGATTCCATGGTGATTCCATGAAATACAGTTGTATCATCCAGATTCAATTCCTCATCACTTATAATTTGTCTAGTATCCATAACCCTTGCATTTTTCGCACAATGTATGTACCTAATGTAATCAAAATTGTTTCAAGAAGATCAATTAAGTAGTTTCTTAAAGACAATTAAGTTTATTTCTCAACACGCCCTTACAAGACTTACGCCCGAATCCAATAACCTATCCCAATCCATAATCCACTATCTGATATAGTAATCTTAAACGTTGTAAAAAGTATGCCAATAACCAATCGACAGATTGTTATAGCCATCTGTCGATACAAGCTATTCATGGGAGGTCGTATGGGTGTCTACTGTCTGTGGATAGACCTTTGTATGAAAATGACAGTTAGTGAAAGCTCGATTTCAACAGTTAATTATTTTAACAGATTTTAACTTACACCAGTTTTTTAAATAATTAAAAAAAACTGTTTGTTATGTTTTAAACATACACATGTATATTTTAATGTTATTTGTACGGTTTTATTATCAAATATGAGTGAATACTCGATAAAATGGAACGACAAAGAGCATTTTATCCGTCGCCAAAAATGGATTGTCTTCGTAGGGTTTGGTTATTGGGATGCAGATAGGAGATCGATCGACTATCGGTGACGGTCTGATTAAAAACAATCTGAGATTGTGGATTGATTATTGGGTTCGGGCGTTAGTTAAACTGCCTCTGCAAGCAGCGTATTTTTATGAAGAATATGTTTAGTGACATTAAGCCAATTTAGCGAATTGAATAGTCACTATTACATAAGTACTACAAATATTGATGAAGTAAAGAGGAACGGTCAGATTTAAACTAAATATATGTAGTATGCGAAACATAAAAGGATTCCACTCCAAATATTTTATGGCATCTTTGATTTTGTCTCGTGTCCGGCTGTGATCTGCAATTGTTTTACTGTATTACTAGCTGACCCGGCAAACGTTGTTTTGCCATGTATATTATTTCTAGTTAATTTAGTTCAATAAAAACAGCTATCTACAATAATAAAAAATAGGGGTTGATCGTAGAGGGGTGAAAATTAGGGGGGGTTATATGTATTTTTGTGTGCTGTATCATAAAAAAATAAAAACAAATTTTTTTTCTGGGGTGGACATCCCTCATCAATTAGGGTGTTGAAAGATAGATAGTAGCCGATTCTCAGACCTATGCATATAAAATTTGATAAAAAATCGGTCAAGCCGTTTCGGAAGAGTATCTTAACTAACATTGTGACACGAGAATTATATATATGAGATTCAGTAGCTTTATAAAATATACGAGTCACCCAATTCAACAAGAACAAAACAGATATCTGTGTCTGTTCCTAGTTAGCATTTTCTTCCTAAGTCTAATGACACACAAAAATAAATAAAAATCAGTGGCGCTACATCCTCTTTAGGTCTGGGCCTCAGATTTCTGAATCTGTTTCATGATTATTTTTCGATCTAATAGGCAAGTAGGTGATCAGCCTCCAGTCCGTCAGTCAGAGTCCAGTTTGGTTTCCTCACGATGTTTTCCTTCACCGTTCGAGCGAATGTTAAATGCGCACATAGAAAGAAAGTCCATTGGTGCACAGCCGGGGACCGAACCTACGACCTCAGGTATGAGAGTCGCACGCTGAAGCCTCTGGGTCAACACTGCTCTGTTCTAATGACACACGCCGACGATTTCTTAAGAATAAGAAATGAGCAATTAGCAAGTAGCAAATGAATGCATGGTGTACAGCCGAGGTTTTAACCCACCACCTCATGGTTGAATCGCTATCTTTTCAAAAACACATAGTACTGATCTGACTGACTGATAGCCGCAAGCTTACTCTGTAACTTTCAAAACCGATTAAATTATTCAGTTTTCGAACCACGTAAAATGACATCAGCGGTACGGAGTCGGCACTTTGATAGACGGTGCCAATTTCAGCTAATCATTGGAAACCGGTATCACTTTTAGAGTATAGGCTTGTAGTGGGTAAAGGTCAGTTTCAACTTTATAGTAAAAAGACTTGGAATGGAATGAGTATTAATCTATTTCTACCTTTAAGTACTTACCTTCTCGTACTGGGCATTTCAAAAATTCTTGAGCAAGACAATTTTTTATATTTGCTTGTTCATTTATCACTCCTTGTAAAATAACACATGGCAAACAAGTCATTATAATATTTGCAATGGCATCCACTGCCAT